ACACACTACAATCACCAGCACACTCAGGACCATGACGAGATGGGTCGACACACACACAGACCTGGGCCGCTGTGCAGCGCCAGCCTCCATGGCCATCCGTGGTGCCCTGGCCTGTAGCCTGGGGTCAGACCAAGAACTTGCCAACAGTTGGATCATCCTCTTGAAGACCACAACACATTGAAAGGGGCTCACCAGCCTCTGGAGGCTGTGCAGGACCCACCAGGTGACCCCTCCTAGGCCCTCGCAGACATACTCCTTTTCCTGAGACTCTTACAGTTGGCCTACCTTATATTGGGCCCCGGTTCCACTGGGTTCCACGGGGACAGGCCCTGGGAGGAGCCCTTCTGTTGTTCTCCACTTTGTTAGGAGAACATTACAGGTGCTTACGCTATACATGGAGAAAGTGGAGTTGCTGGCTCTGAGAAAATTATATTTTGACCATCAATTTGAAGAAAAATTGTATGCTCACTTTAAAGACTAATAGGGACAGTACAGCTACTTTATCCCTTTTCAAAGAAAGACTTACTTCCTGCCTGCCAGCAGGCCTAAGCCCACCTGTCCTATATCTGGGCAGGACCCCCTCATTTGCTGGCAGTCCTTCTGCAACTCAGCAGCCACACCGGAGCATGAACCCCAGCTGTATGGGGCCGCATCTGTAGTTAAAACTCCACATCAGGGTGGTCAGCAGGGGAGCCCTGGGCCTAGAGGTAGGTCATTGGGGGGAGGGGCCTACCTCCCGGCCCTTCCTTCATGAGCCCCAGCAGTGTGAGTGGGGAGGGGAGGGGGTGGAGGGGGTGGTGGCCACGTCTGGCCAGATCCCACAGGGCTGACCCCCCTGGTGTGGGAACGCTCAGAACTGGTCTTCTCCAGATGCCAGTGGTGACAGTAATTTAGGATGTAAAGTCCTATAGGAACTTTCTAAGAGGCTCCTGTGAAAACAGCCTCATCCACGTGAGTTGATGCTGTTCAAAACGGTATACCAGGCTAGGTCTGGTGTGATCCATTCCTTGGATAGAGGAGGAGGGGGTCTTTCCATTTCGTGAATTGTGGGCATGAAAGAGCTGCCAGATTCAGAGCTCTCAGGTTCTTGGCTAGGAATGCTGTGGTCTTGTAGGGGAAAGACACACATGTCGTGGGGCCAAACCTGGAACAGTCTGCGGCATGGTCAGTGAGGCTGCCTCTCACTCTCCTGTCCCTCCGACCACAGGCATGAGATGCACGCACACACGCAGACACGAACACACTCACATATATGCACACACACACGCTTTCCCTCTCTCAGATCCCCAGGGCCAGCACATCTGAGCCAGGGGAATCATCTGGCTTGGAGGTAGACCCACTTGCCATTCTCTTGGAAACATCAAGAAGGCAACTCTAATGTCAAGTGGGGGAAAGCTCTTTCACACGGAGCTGCAGGCATGTGCAGGAAGGTCAAGCCTAGCACTATTGAACAGCCTGCGGCTCAATCGTTCAGTGTCTTCCAGAGCACGGTCATCAAGGGAAGGTGAGCTAAGTCAGGGTTTCGTCGTCTGGTTTTGGATCACCGAGAGGAAAGGGCGATCACAGATCTGAGGCTCCCAAGTCAAAGACCAGGTTTGAGACACCCACTGCCTTGTCCACAAAATAAACATAGGTGACAAAGCACTAAGTCAGTAGCCCCAGGTAAATTATGTATATGAACGCATGTCACGAGGCACCACGGGCTAGGAACACTCCTGAGGTTGAGAAACAACAGATAATCCTATTCACTGTCATTCAACTGATTGGACTGGGTCTGATTAAAAGAAATAGAAAACTATTTATTTGGATAATTTTTAACATCATCCTCTGTTGACGGGTTGACATTTCACTGAAATACACATATAACATAATTGCATCATAAAAACAAAAACGGTCTCCAGCATGTCTTCAATGGTACACAAGATCAAAAGAGTGGTGAACAGACACAGGACAGAGAATTTGTTTGCAACATAAATCATGGAGAAAACTGAGAGGCGGCTCAAGAGGCCACTTCCAAGGACAAATAATGACAACATATTTATTAAAGAGACATCAAAGGAGGATAGAAAGCATCACCCTTCCTCGACACAAAAGCAGAGGTTTAGAGATCATGGTTACGTTTTGCTTGCTCCACGCAGGAAGAAACACATCTTTTGCGAGTCAGGGCCTGACTTGACTCTTTCACATGGGATCTGGGGAAGGACGGGGCGGGGGGCTATGGGAGGTGGGGTGTCTGCTAGGTCTGGGAATGAAGGAAACAGATGTTCCCAAACTTGAACTGAAATGAAGCTTAAGCACAGCACCCTGAATTTATTACATATCACAAAACATGGTAATGAAATTTTTCTAGCACACATATCAAGCTAACAGGTAGCTTAGGCTGCTCCAAAGTTTCCATAGGCACAAATTCCAATCCCAGAAAACTATCTTAAACTCTTGAAAAAATTACTTTTTTTCATACCACTAAAAAAAAAAACAAAACAAAACATTTTTTTTTTAAATAAACACTTTACAACCAGTAAAATGATCTGTTCTTTCATTTTTCATATGGGTGTCTACCTCAATCAGCAAAATACTACTTTAATTTGAAACGTGGTCATTTAGCACTTAAACCAACACAATGAAAGCTGTATAGTCATTCCATTAACATCACAGTAGAATTATGGTTTTGAATAAACACAGAATTGCTATAAAATAGAAACATTTTTGATTTAAGATGTCCAATCATATAAAATATTAAACAGAATCAAGCCTAGTTTCTGGTTGATTTTTAAATGCTAGATGGTATCATAAATATCTTTTAAAAAAAGAAACGTTGGCGCTTTGCCCGTAGACTGCTGCTTTAAATTTTAGACACCATTTAATTGGAATTTTATAGATATTTACTCTATAGAATGATTAGGTCACCCAAACAAACAAACAAACAAAAACAAACTATAAAATCTCTCTAAATATTTCTGAAGCAATAGCATAAAACTATGGTATTTTAACATCAGATATGAATATTCATTTACCCTCCTTTCTCTCACCCACTGTTAGGGTGAGTTCTCCCTACCTGGGTGCATGAGATGCCATGCTGGCTGCCTTCCTAAGCTAGCTCTGTCAGACACACCAGGAGCCGCCGGCTCTCAGCACCAGAGAAAGCAGAGACAGATGCCAGAACACTCCCCCGAACATACACTGTAACAGTGGAGATAAGAGATGTGCGTCTCCAGTCGGGACCGGGCCAGGCCATTCATCTTCGGACGCCAGTGCCAGGCTTTCAGACTCCAGCCAAAGACCCCCCCCCGTCTGCTATAGCCTGTTCTCCATCACAGGCTTCGCTTGGCCAGGGCCAGCCCTACACACCCGTCTCATTAAAGGCAAGTTCTGATTAACCCTTTAGCAGGATTCAGCCCCTGTCGCATCAGAGGGCATTGTTTCAGACTAGCTCCATCAGAAGAAAGAACTGGAGACTGAATTCTTATAGAATAAACCAGCTCATCTACAAGCTGTCCTCCACTGCCCCCGCAAACACACAGGCACACATAGCACACATGGGCACACCCTTTCTTTTGTCATCCTTTGCCTCCAGGGAAAAATGTGACAGTGGGGCCTTTGCGCCCATTATGCACCGTTCTTGAGTCATATGTAAAGGGTTAGAATCAAGAGCGCGGCACTCCATGGGCCACCCACAGGGATTCTGATCCTGGCTGAAAGGTCAACTGTAATGTCACTGCCTAAGTGACTCCTGGCATCGCACTCAGCAGTACACGTCAAGTTTGTTACCACCACTTTGAAAGATAAAGGAATCTTTTTTCAAAAAAAAAAAAATTATCTAAAGAGATCTATGACGTCTCCCTGCAAGCGATCTGACAGACCTATCTGAGCAACCTTGATTCTTGGTTGTAGTCTGACACCAGACTCAGAGCAATTCCTGCCAGTTTCTTGATAACGGAGTATTACTTAAAGTTCAGCAGAAGCCTCAAATCATGATTTCTATTCTGTTAGCATCTTTGTACCTGCCGTAATGATCTCACATACTTTATCCCACTATATCCCGGGAAGCCAGGATTATCCCCATTTGGTTGAGTGGCCTGCCTGACTGACGAAAGCTCAGCTGGGACTCTGGTCCCCAGGCCTGCCCCACCCCGACCACCAGCAAGACAAAGCCATTGAGTCTCCAGGAGCAAGGGCTGGGATGGAGTCTCAGTTGTCTGCTCACTTAGCCCTGTGACCCCACACATGACCTCAGTCAAGGTTAACCTTCTTCCATCTAACTTGGCAGAACTCTTGTATCACTAAGGTCAACAGGGAAGTGGACCAGTGATCATAAGTTTTCTTGAAAACTGACCCTGTACTTAGCACACGTCCTGGTCTCAGCTGTGCCGCTCTGAGGAGTCCTGATCTTTGAAAACACTATCACACAGACCCCCATTCCTCCAGATCAACACAGGCACGGGGGTATGACCTACGACGCTCCTTCTGAACTTAGCTGGACACAGGGCTCACAGGTAGCTTTATGTCTAGTCAGTGGGTTGGGCCTAGGGTGGCACCTGGGAGGGACAAAAAAGTTCAAGGTAGGGGCAGTGCAATATGCAGGAGGCTCTCTCACTAGGGAGATCCTAAAAGGCTCTAGTACCCTTTCCCTTTGCGGGGAGGGGTATGTGGGATCATTTCCCTAGAGCAGCAGTTCTCAAAGTGTGGCCTGGGGACATCTCCAGGGACTGATGAGGTGACTGTAATGTCCACACTACCAGGACATTCTTTGCCTTATACACGCATTCCCTCAGAGCACAATGGGGTTATTCAAAGCCTATACGACATGTGAGGATGTCACCTTTCTGATACCTTTGTGCATGCATATTCTGTATTTTGAAATTTTCTGTTTTATTTTTTAATGTAAGTACTGATATACAAGGGCCCTCAATAATTTTTAAGAATATAAAAGAGACCCGGAAGTTTGAGAACGGCTGACAGCTCATCCCCAGACAGGCGACACAAACCTTTCTTCAGGCCCTGGCCCCTCACCTCACTTACGATTCCTGTGGTTCTGCTGACCTTTCTCTGCTTTTGGAAGAAATGTCCTTACCATGGCTTCTCTTGAGCTAGCCTTTGGCACTTCTTAATGGGGATTGCCTTCACCATGGCCTTAGAATGACGTACCCTTCCGTTACCCCAAATAGTCACCTCTCTTAGATGTGAGGTATGCCACAGAGAACGAATTTGCACAGTTCCCAACCTAGGAACTGTTAGTAGTTGACAGTAAGCTCCTTCCCATGAAAAATTGAATCATGACATACGAGGGCTAATGAAGGGTGTCAGGTTGGTATTATTCAATAGCACACCATGATAATTAAGACCTTTTGCTACTACATAGTATCACCTGCTGTAACTTCTGTTCAGTAATTCTATCTTCTCAAAGTCTTTCGAAAATAATTACTATTATTGTCAGAGGGAAAAGAACTCCTGCCTTTCAGAAAGAGAACAGAAGGCAGTACCCAATAATCCTACGAATTTATAGTTGGGTCCCGCCATAGTGTAATCTATTTATGAACAGCCAGCCTGGTGCCCAGTCTCGCAGGTTGTGATGGATACTGGCCTGCATCCTGTCTTCCATCCAGGAGCTTAAGAGTTTAGCACCATGGATTCTGGTGTTGGGTACCATGTTTGCTGAGTGGGGGAAGATTCTCAGATAACTTGAGTTGTCTCCTGCAACGTTTCTACACTCAAAGCTACACTCTTCTGGCAAGGTTTAAGGAGGAAGGACAGAGGCGTCTGCAGTCTGACTGGACGCCAAGTTTTAGGGAAGCCTTGTTTCCCTTTTGAGTTGAAGTCGGAGGTACACCTCCTGACTTCTGGCTGTTTCCATGCACTGCCCTTGGCTAGCAGCCACAGTCAGTGCCATCACTGAGCAACACAGCCAGGCCCATGTGGGGCCAGAGACTCTTGTTTCATTTAAACCATTCCCTAATCCCATCTAGAAAGTTCACTGCTTTCTAGTTTTTCCTTATTTGGAAAGACTGCAGAGAGGCGTGTGGAAATGCCTGCCATGCACGCTGCTTGGGGGCTGTCCTGCTGAGACTTTACCCTACGGAGACTCCATTTAGCAGTTGGCTGGTCACACTGGACCTCTGAGACAGGGCCCCTTGATTGTTTAATAAGCTTGACGTTCTGGTGGATCAGAAACAGGGGGTCATTTATCTGATGGGGAATTAGCCCCACACCTGTGCTCCCAGGGCTGACTAGCCTCCTTTTCAGGGACGATACACCAAATTCTTAATAAACGGTACATCCCAAGCACTCCCTGATCGGTGCAGAGGAGACCTTCAGACCAGAGCACAATCCCAGAAATCCCTGCTACAGCAGGCATTAGCCTTTTACCACCTAGACCACAGAGGGATGTGGAGAGGGGCTAGATGTTGGCAGGGGGGCCACCGCTGTGAAGTGGCATGTACAGACAGGCTTCGACATCTTCGCAAGGGGTGCAACCATCCCGCGGTGTGCTGGCCGGCTTTCAACCCCACCCCACATCACTGCCCTGGGCGCTGCGTGAAGTCAGACCTGCTCTTTGGCCCCGCAGACTCTGCTGTGAGAATCCATAAAGCCCACCATGAGCTCCCAGACTTACAGCAGTCTACGCAACGGGAGCAGAATCAGGGGCCGGACCTGTTTCCATGAGTGAGGCCAGGGAATCCACTTAAGTGCAGGCAGGCCAGACCACTGGTAACATAAGCCACTGCGACCAAAGGGCAAAGGTCACAGTACAAAAGACAACACTGGAACAGCCCTCAGGGCTGGGAGGGACCCTGACAGCTGTGCCCGGGATGGGCCTGTAGGCCTTCCACTGACACTGTTCTTCCTGTCGGTGACACCACTTGCCCACTTGAGCTGCTCCTGCAACAAGTGCAGCCAGGAACAGGGCTTCCCCACGTTCTGCCGGCCCAGTCCACCACCTTCCCCATGCCCCCTCATGCACGCGCACACACGCACACAGCCTCGTCTGCACTGACCAGGGCAGGCAAAAGGGGCTTCTAAGCCTTCTTTTCTCCAGGTGCTTCAGAAACTTCTAGTTTTCACACTACAGTTACTTTTGAATATTGATTTCAAAACTCAGGTTGGCTCCTCTGGGGGTCTTGGGCTCAGCACTGGATGTACAGACCTCCTTAAGCACTGCTTGTGATCGGCTGAGAATTTCACACGGGACTCCCTCATGAAGCAACTTCTCAGCGAAAGTCTATCATTTGTAAGATGTGAAAACACGACCTGTACAGGTACCTCTGTGTACATCTGTATACACTTCCCAGAGATCTTTGAAAGGGGAGAACTCTCTTTCTCAGTGGATAACTACAGTACAGAACAGAAAAGAGATCAAAGAAAAACAAGAATTTCTTAAAGTTCTGGTAGTAAACAGGCATAGGATATTATTATTGTTGTAGTCTTAATAATAAGCAATTATACGTTCAAAGTGCTTTACAATCACTTAGCTATTCCTCACAACAGCCCTGTGAGGTAGGTCGACATTATTACCCCCATTTTACAGATGGGGAAACTGAGGCACAGAGAGGTTAAGTGTCTTGCCCAAGGTCACGCAGCAAGTGAACGCTGGAGCTGGGACTAGAACCCAGGTTCCCTGACTCCCAGTGTCCTTGAAACTAGACCACACTGCTTCCAAAGAGGCATCCCCAGACTGGCTTTGAGCACGAATTAAAGACGGACAATGTTGGATGAGGTTTGGGTGTGGTGGTGTTTCCCGTGGACACGTTAAGATGGAACCTGAGGTGTTACCTGGACTGGTTTGGGCATGCGGGCGTATGTGTTAGTTTAAATGGTGTGTCTGAGCTTCCTGGCCTGCCCACTTCTCACGCATTCTGGACGGGGTCACTGCAGAGAGTGGGGGCCGGAGGGTCAGTAGGTCATGGCGGACTGGCATATAAAAGGAACTCTGTCAGCTCGGTGCCAAGGGGCCTGCCAGTCTTTGGGAGGTCGGACAAACTAGGGACGCAGAACTTTGGAACAAAGTCAGCTGCCCACCTTAGGCAGGTCTGCTTAATCTTTTTATCGTGTTATTTTTTACTGGCCAGCATCAGGAAGTTGTGTTCATTTCATTCTCTGTGGGGCGGCTGCCCCCCTCCTTTGCTCTCTCTCTCTCTCTCTCTCTCTCTCTTTCCCTTTCTCTGAGTCTCTGCTTGGAGGGGAAAACTGTTAAACCTTGCACGTTCCCTTTCATGAAAAAGAGCCACCGTGAGCAGCGTCCGCGACAGGAGGCCATGGCTCTGCGGATGAGCCACGGCCCCGCTTCCGCCTTCTGGAGGAGTGCTTTGCTTGGAAGGGGTCTCCCTGGGGCCTTGGGTTTGCTTTTTTCCTGCATTTCTCCCGAAATGCTGTTTCAGTAGAAATAAGCCCACTTGAGACTTTTCCCTTTCAAGGCCTTAGCCACAAACGCCTTCCGACTAACGAGCTTGGTGCTGTAGCTCAGGCAGAAAATTCTAAAGCATCCGTTCAAGCATCTGAAACAAACGAATCAGCCAGTGAAATCTCATCTGTTAGCATCTGTTCTCTTCTTAGATTAAAAAAGAAAAAAAAAGCGCCTTTTTTTATGGCTTTAAATGGACTCATGCTTTTAAAAAAAGAAAAATACCTCACTATGTTTTCAACTAAGGTGCCTAGGTAACAGGAGTCTGACACTGCACAGGTTAAGTGTCTGTGGCGTGAGTTCCCCTCTCTTTCTGCACCGAGCCTCCCCAAGGTGACCACGTCAGGGCACACCAGGGACTAAGAGTCACTGGGTTCCCGTGTGCCACCCCCACGTCCGCTCGACCACCTGCATCCCCATCTGTCAGCTGGGCCGCGGGCTTTCACATAAACCCTAACGACTTGGTTCTTTACAAGCTGGGAATAATGGTGTTCTCCCTCAACCCAACTTCCAACCAGGTGAGGAAGAGACCATCCCGCTTAAGTCTCCCTGTCATTAACGAAGGGCAGGCTCCCATCTGGGATGCCTGGGGGATAAGTCTCCTTGGATCTCACCAGAGTGTCTTTTGCACAAAGGAAATCCTTGAATGTTGAAAGAAAAAGAAATGAACAAAACTTTTCCCACTTTGGGATTTTTTTTTTTTTTTTCTTATCCATGAGACACTGGACTAATTCATGTCTGTATCTTGCATGGAAGTCTTCATCTGGAAGGTCTGGTGGGGCTTTACTATTTGAGGGGAGGGGACCGAGCACTTTCAAGGCTGCAGAGCTGCGTTCCTTTGTTTACTTGCTCTTGGCGGAAACTTGCGGGTCAGTCGGATGCAGCAATAATGGATGAACAGCAGATGTGGGGTCAAACTCAAGTGAATATGGCACATGGGGGGTGGAGGTGTGTGGGGGGAAACAAAAAGGCAGCCTGATGCAGCTTCTCTCCCACCCGGTCTCTTCCCACAGAGGGTGGGAGAGAAGGCTGGCTTTAATGAAGATGGATGGACAGATGGAAACTGCACACTCATTCAGACCACAGAGGCCAGAGGACACCGGGTGCCGAGCTCCTCCCCACACACGGATCCAGGAGCTCAAGCCATTCTCCCTCATGTAGAAGGGGACACCGCAGCGGGTCTGGACAGAGGGAGACCAGACGGAGCCCATGGGGTTGAAAACCACAGTGCATCTGTGTGCCCTTGAGAACCATTCCACGGGGAGCAGAGTGTGTGGACCAGTGGTGATCCCGCTCAGACAGACTGCACTCTACGCAGCACAAGCACGCACATGCCTACGTCCTCCTCCCGCGCTCACACTCCACCTGCCATGAGCAATCCGTCCGTCAGCGTGTGACGCCCGGGCGCGGCGAGAAGCAGCTCATCCCGCTTCTCAGCAGACCACGCCCACGTCCGTGTGCTGGACCTAGTGACACTGTGGGTGCCGCTGTCATTCGACCCTGTGGCCCTAGCTCCACGGCATCACATAATATTTCATCACACAGAGAGGAAGAGCCTCCTTGCGCTTACTAAATGTAGAGTGACAGATCACATTTAAAGCCACTTCTAGGGCAGAGGAGGCCAAAGATGTAATTAGAATTATCCTTCAAGGAGACACAAATTTTCTATTTTTCATGTTTGCTTCAGAATCCAAAGCACTTTGAGAATTTATCTGTCAAGATCACGAACACAATTTAATTTTCTAGGCTGTGTACTCAACGTAAATTACAGTCATAGCCTCAACTCCAACCAGGTGTAGATGTGCTGGTATTATCATCTAACAGGAAACGTTTGGATTTCGCCAGGGAAATGAAACACTTTCTACAAACAACAAAATGAAAAATGTTTGGGAGAAAAACATTATCGCAACACATAACGTAATTGTCTTTTACCCACGACTTACAAACGTAGTTTTAGCATCATTTGAGCCTGCAACTTAAAAGACTCAGGGAAGCCCATCCATGAAATGTGATAATTAATTACTCAGCCATGTGTTGTTTTTCAGGTTTTAAAACGTCAAGACACTATATCCAGCCACTAGAGCAGGAACTGAAGCCATCTGGTTGCAAAGTCTTGGGGATTCAGGAAAGGGATAACTCTGTATCCAGGTGACCATCATACATGCCTTCCCCAGAAAACAGAAGCATGTCATAACATGGACATTACGGTTACTGGAAATTATGGCATAACCATCCATGAAAGAGTATGTTTCCCCCTCCAGAGAAGTCATCAGGTCCTACCAACCCCACCAACTAGAATCTGAGAATAGCAAGCAGTTTCCTACAGGCGGAGGGAACCATGACACTCTGAAATCCAGCCAGTCTAGGTCTCCAGGCCCAAGGCTGTTCAAGGAAGCTCCTTCAGAAACTCGTTCATCACACCTCCTCCTTGCACCCAACCTGGCCACGCTGCTCTCAAGAGCCCACGGATGGACCAGAGGCCCGTTCAAATCTGTAAGCACGTCTTTTCCATTTGCTTCGTCTCTCTAAGGCTACTTGTGAACTGTGATCACTTTTGAGGACTGGCAGGGCCAGAAGAGAGAGTTTTACTCGCAAACTCCACAGCCTGAGCTGGCAGTGGGCCATTGGGCCGGGCCTCTGATTCACTGAGCCACCTTTAGGACAGGCGATGAGAGAAACAAAAGACCAGAAACTGTCTTTAGTTGCTTCCCCTAGCTCTGCGGCTGTCTGGGCAGAACAGAGGCTTCCTCATGAATCCCCAGGTCACTGGCACACAAGGTCATCTGCTAACCCAGCATCTGCATGTGCACCACATTTCTTCACTCACGGCCATTCATGCTCCCATTCTCTCTCTCAGCGAGGCCACAGACCAGCCCTCACCGCACCTCACCGGCACTCTGGACACCAAACAACGCTGGGACCTTCTCCTCGGAAGGGACTGATAGAAGGACTGTTCCAAACTGAACCCTGTTGATAACTACACGGCCCAACCTGAGACATGTGATAAGAGGGACATAAAGGTAATTTTAGAGTAAACAAATTAGCAGGAGAAAAACATCCTTGATCTTATTCATGATGGACTTCAAGCACTCGGGGAGCAGAGATGATGGGGCTTTTGATTAGTTTGGACAGGTGTTTCTGACAGCTTGCCAACAGTTCCCTCGTGCCGGTTCTTCATGCCTTGTCATTCCCTCTTTCCCCTGCCTTTCTCCATCGCCAGCACTCACTCACAAGCTTTCCTGCCTCGCCCCTCTTCCTGCAGGCTTCACGGTGACCCCCTTCCTCCACATACCTGCTTCCCATGCCAGAGCTCTGGGATTACCCAGGATTCTACATCCTCAAATGCATGGACCCTGGCCGGAACCAGAGGTTCTACACTCCGGGAGCCTGGGGCAGGCCGGGGCTGGCATAGGGGGAGGGACCAGAGGCTGGCCTGGGCACAGAGCAGTGTTTGCACAGCGCAGAGAGACAGACACACCGCAACACACGTGCGCGCACACACATATGCACGTACACACACATCAGGAGGTGATGGATGTTACTGAAATGGACCGAAAACCAACAAGCAGTGGGGTAAGAAACAAACAGAAACAAAACAAAGCACTTGCGTTCAGATGGAGAGCTGTTTCCGGGGCAGCTAGGGCCTGAGCCCAGGGCCAGGGGTGGGGAGGTGGGTGCCTGCCTAAGGTTAATGCCTTTGGAGAAGCCTGGAGGAGACAGGGTGCAAGGCGAGCGCCGGCCCCCCGCCCGCCAGGGCTGTGCCTCTGCCGCTGTCCTGGGGGCCCTGCCACAAGGGCCACGGCAGGTGCGGGCACAACAGAGAAGAAGCAAGGAGAGGGAGGCACTTACCTCGGAGCCCAGAAATGACTAGTCCACATTTTGGGGGGTGTGCGGTATCTCAGTTTAAACAAAATCCTTGTGGCACTGCTCAACCATGAATAGTCAGCTCTCTAGTATTTCAAATAAGCTTGTAAAATCGTTAGTGAAAAGAAAAGGTAACAAAAGGACAATTCACCTGTAGGGCAATGGTGGTGTTCTTCGCAGGGTATTTTCCCACCAGGCCTTGTTCTTTCCGTTTCTTGAATTTCCTAAAGTAGTCCTGTATCAGGAAAGTGGCATAGAACTTCCCCACGGTTACCTCATCATCTAAACGGAGAGACCAGACAGAGCTCTCCCGAATCAGCACATTTGCACCAGGAGCCTAAACTCTCTCGCTCGGGGCCGGGGCTGGGGTGGGGTGGGACTGTGCGCAAGGCACTGAGCTCTGGGCTTAGACACGGGAGACTAAATCTAGCAAAAAGCAAGGTTTTGCAAAGCAGTTAAGGCTCAAAATTAGAGTCAGTCACACGAACTGATACTCAAAAGTTGCAGAAAACAATATGTTTGTCATGAGTTTATTAGAGCAGCGTATTAGTAACACTATGAAGTGCTGTCTTGGTTATTTACTTAAAATAAAAATTACAAAACAAAAAGAGGCTTCCTGGGTCTTATTTTCACCCCTGTGCATAGGGATTTGCATGTGTAATTACCATGAACACCGAGGGCAATTAAGCACCCAAATCCCGATGCCTGGAGATAAAGACAGAGACCTCAGAAAGTGACAGACAAGCTTGGAAGAGGAGGAAGGTTCAGGAAAGTGGCTGCAAACCCAGATTTTCACGTGCCCCCGTGACTCTGTTCCAATAGCCTCCATATGCCATTTCTGCGTTTGTAACCCAGAGCTGCTTGTTTTCGGCACAGCGAGCGACAGCTCCAACTAACCTTGGAGTTGAGCTTATTTCTGCTTTAAAGGGAAACAACTCCAGCACGTACCGCTGGGGGCTGGAACTCTGCTGAGCATTTTAAAGGTGATGCATGAGGCAGAATAGAGGCGCTGGCTGTCTCACGGTAAACCACGTCGGTGGTGCAGGTGTGCTCGGGGGTGTCGGCCAGCCTCGCTCTCCCTGGGGTGCACGCCCCCAGATCTGCAGTGGCTCCTAGGCAAGAAGCTTAGGGCCCCAGCGCTTGTAGAGGCCGAGAGGAGGATGGGCGGCCGGCCCTCAGGCTTTAGGACAGCTGAACTTGCACCCAGGCCACCTTCCCCTCACAAGAGTCGCGTGTTGATCTGGGGCAAGGGGCTTGTGGAGCTGTGAACACCACAGGAGATGAAGCCCCGAAGCACTCGGCCTCCTGCCTGGGCTGGAGGACAGTGAGCTGGCAGCCTGCTGACAATGGCATCCACTGCAATGATGGTGGAACGTGATGGGTTAGGGGTCACTGGGACCCTCTGTATTCACTAATGCATCTGGGTGGGGTTCGTTTGTGCCCATGTGGGACGTGTCCCCGTCTGGACACCACTAGTGTCCTGCCAGAAGCCACTCAGCGTTACTGAGTAAGAAGATGCCTTGGGGAGGCCGGCCTTGAGAAGTGTGCTGCCTTCCTCCCAAACCTCAGCCAAGAAGTCCTGGGCTGGTGCAGGGGTCACCAAAGTGACCAAGGCTTTGGGTAGCTTGTAAAAACATGTCCTACATCAGTCTCAGGCTGGTCCAAATGGCCTAATGATGTACTGTCCATGGGCAAGGAGGCCAGGAGGTGAACAGACCGTCCAGGTCTCAGGACATCAGCCCTGCTTTGCTCCTAAGCCCCTCCGCATTTTGCCCAGGATGCATCTGGAATACTGGTTCTAGCTGCTGTTACTCTGGGGCACCCACGCTCCCAGAGGAACTCCACGTGGGTCTCATGGCCTCTTCACGACAGCTCTGAGATGGGGGACCTGTTGGTCCCTCCGACAGGCGGGGTGGGGCTGAAGGACTTGTCTTGGCCAGTGCAGCTGGGATGTGAGTCCAGGGCAGCAAGGCCTCCCAACCCTGAGCTCTCCTCCTCGTTACCCCCTCAGGGACAGCCCAGCTCTGGCCACATAGAGGGGCTTCTTTGGGGCTGTCTCCCCCAGAGTATAAGTCTCTGTACCGAGCTGCATGCCGTGGGCGGCTCACGGCTGCCAGCAGACAACCCCGGGAGCCCAGGAAGACTCTGCCTACCGTACTACAGCTGTCCCCTGCAGCCCATGGTGTCACGTCTTCTCCGTGGGCTCCCAGAAAAAATACACTGGGTCTGCAGAAGGCCCACCTCATTCCGTACTGGGACGTTTCCCGAAAATACAGGCCTAACCCTCTTCTCCCTTGAGCCGAAATGGCCCCGGGGGCTCCTGAGGGAAGGTCTTGGCTCTCCCGGCCCAGAACCAGGGGCAACAGGGGGCTCAGCGCAGACCATGGTTCTGCCCGAGCGGCCGCTCCAGAGCGCACAGGCAGGCCCACCACTTGGCCTTCTCCACTGAGATGCTAAGCTAATTGAGGCTGGGCTGAGGATGAGCTCTCAAGAACAGAAAAAGTCAAAGCTACAGCAGGTTAGAAAAGGAAGGGACAGAAGGAATGGATGCAGTGAGGCCATCCGGGCTCAGGCCTGGAGAAAAAGAGATGGGGTCAGCTTTTTGCACTCTTCGGGGCAAAGGAGCCGGAGATCCAGGTCAAGGAGTAGAGGCCCAAAGGCAAGGACAGCCTCTGGGAGGAGAGGGGACTTCTAAAGAAAGGGCAAAGAGCCATGAAATGGCAGAAGACTAAAGAGCGGAGCAGAGAGAGAACATGAGCAAGATGCAGAGATGGGCAAGGAGACCACTTAGCCCAGATGGTAGAGAGACGGACGGGCTGTGCCTGCAGTCAAAGGCCCCTGCACTGTTCCTCCAAGGCTGGCCCCTGGATGTCACCTCCTTCTCAAGCTTGTGATGGCCTGGGGGCCACCTCACACCCCCTGGGCTACAAAGCCCTGCTGTCACCAGTCCTGTAAGGGGCTCCCTGAGCACCTCACATGGGCCGGTCCCAGGCACCGGGAGCAGCCAGCCTGGCGGGGTCTGCTGCTCTGACCGGGTTACAGCCTGAGCCCCTTGGCCCTGGGGATCTACCCGTCTGCTGGCCCAGAGGGCTGGCCCAATATTCCCATTTTCCAAGGGTGCCATGATGTGGGCGAGTCTGGGAACCCCTGGTCTACTGGAAGAGAAAAGAAAAAACAAAGAGCCAAGTGGCGAACGCAGGCACTAAACCCTGCCCTGACTTCATTCAGAGTTTGTCCCCCGATGCCTGAGAAGCACTGCCTCGTGAACCTCTTCAGCGCAGTAGCACTTATCTGAGATTGGGCCTGGGTGAGCACCACCCCAGGAGCATATCAATGATGGGAGCTCCCACGGCATTCTACCTCCTGCCAAGGCCCCACTGCCTTCTTCTTGGGTTCCACCAAGCCCCCTGCCGCCATTCTGGAAGAGGGTAACACCTGTCATCCTGAACCCCGATCTTTTCTAAGAAATAGAGAGAAAAGGCCAGGCCCAGTTATTGAGCCAAGAAAGCAGAGGGATATTTAGCCTCTGTTGGCAGTCTAGCAGGGCTAAGAGCTGACCTGTTTTTCGGAGGAAGGGCGCTTACAGGGTGAGCCAAACTCTAGACCTTCTCTTTCCGGTATAATTAAGAGAAATAAAGCTTCACAGTGATGTGAACACGCTCGCCAAGATGTCGGGGTGAGACTGGTTTGTGAAGGCGGTGGCGTGTGAACAGAGGTGAGGTGAGGCGGGGAGGGCCTGCCGGCCCTGGGAGGAAGGTTTACTCGGAGGGGCGCAGCCGCTATTCTGAAGCATGCATCTGTGTTTCAGAAACATCGTAGGGGAATACGGCTGCCGAGAGATAACCCTGATTCCATGCCACCACCCTAAAACAGAATTGCTTCAGAATATTCTGAAAGACTGAGACTTGAAAGGAATGGAGGCTGCAGAAAAAGCTCAAGCACATCGTTACAACAATTTTAAGAAAGCAATTTATCTGAGCCATGCGAGCACTGGGTGCAGCAGCTGCGAGGAAAAGAACGAAAACCAAAGAGTCGTTTTAAATGTGCAGCATCCGTTCTCCTGTGGGGAGCCAGCGCTCTCTACGTGGGAGTGTGGGGGGTTGTTGTTGTTGTTGTTGTTCTTTGGTGTTTGGGGGGTTGTGCTTGTTGGTTTTTTTTTTGCCTCTCTCATTTCTTTGGGGCCATCATCCCCTGCTCTGAGCAGGTGGCTCCACCAGCTACGGGGGACTCCGTCCGGTGGCAAAAGCTCACGCTGCTCTCGCTTCATGCAGAGGGCCAGAGCGGGCCACCATGCTGCTGTCTCTGTCTCTCTGCCACCCAAGAGCCAGAATTGTCACGTCGGAGAGAGAGGCCTTGGCCATGTCCTGGCCCAGGGTCCTGGGTCGGCTTCTAGGCCTGAGCCAGGACCAACCTGGAAAGCGGCAGGAGAGGTGACTCTAGAAAAGTTCAGTTGGTCGTAAAGCACAATGGTGCTCACAGTGGGCCCAGGGCTGGGGACGGCTAGAATGTGGGCGTGGTGGCACTAAGCCTACGGATGCTGCACCTTTAAAACGTGAAAATAAAATAGTCACAAAACAACCACCTCCACGTCTAAGTCCGGTGTACTTAAACAAAAAATGGAAAAACAGCATATATATTATATATATGTGTATCATATATATATATACATCTGAAAAAGTTTAGTCAGTTATTTTATGACAAATAACAAAAGGAAATAAGCATGCCTGTTAGTTCTGTCTCTAAACTCCAGTTGAAGGGACATTCTGGGTAATTACGATGGTAAATTCAGTCTGGAGAAGAACATTTCAAAAATATCATTTTCTGAAGCTATCTATTTCTTCTGAAACCTTTTCAACAGTATGTTGAAAGATAAGTGGAAACTAGTTTTAAATATTTCATTTTGGTTGAGAAAATATAAGCTTTCCGTTTTGCAACTGTAATCTCATTCCCCAGCGGTAATCCCTCCACCAACGAGAAAACCCCTGCTCCAGCCAGCTGAGTCTTGGGTTTCCTTCCTACTGAAGCCTCTCCTCTTCTGGAATGGTCCTCCTGTTACCCCAAATCATGACACCAAAAGGCCAAAGAGCCTTCTTTAGCTGTAGGCCTGAATGCTCTAGCGGATACATAAAGCATTCTGCAAACACCCTGTGGGCTTGCTGGAGATACTTTCATTAAAACCAATGCGTTGGCCAAGAACTACTTAGGAAAGAGATTGCACTGACCACCAGCTGGAGGGACAACTTGGTCAAGCAGTTTCATGCTGGTTTTCTTCCAGATTTTCTTTATCACAGCTCGGAGCTCTTCATTAGCTTGTTCCAGGTTCCCTGAATCCAGAAAGCAAGAGGGGAAAACAAGCCTTGTGTCTCTTAGCCAGCTCTCCTGTCTGATCCCACCGAGGCTGCCTCCCTCCCAGCCTGGCCTGGGGCACAGCCCTCGGATGGGGCGGGGCTCTCCTCTCCCCAGGGCTCTCCAAGTGGGGGTCACAGGCAAATGGTGGGCAAGCCTTGCACCGGGCAGGCACTCCACAGTAGGAACAACCACGTTTTATTTCGGAATTCAAGGTCTGTGCAGTCTGATCTGTCCTACCCTCCCACAGCCAAGACCCACCCCTTCCTTCCCACCGCCTTCAGCTACAATGTCTTCTCCTTCTCAGCTGCCTGTTCTAAACCCTGCCTCCATCCTTAAAGATCAGACTAAATTTCCCCCAAATGAGACTCTTGCAATCCCTACTGCATGTACTCGTCAGCACCACAGAATCCTGGTCTTTCATTATATGGGCTGATGCCTGTCTCCTCCACTAACCTGTCAGTACCTAAGACCACCCTGCCTTCCGCATCGCTCCGAGACACTGGCTGGGGCCAGCTATGGGTGTGCACCCTGCAAGGGGTACCTGGGAGCTTGGAGAGACTGGCTTTGTGGAGAGGTTCGCCTAGCACTCTGGGGCTGCCAGAAAACAGCCGTCTGCAGACTGTAGGCGTGCCTTGCTGGCCACTCTTCCTTCTGGTCCAGGGTGTCAACAACTGGGTCCTTCACAGCCTCCAGCCTCCCACCTCCTGGTCACTCCTCAACCTGCTTTCTGTCCCACCTCTGGAGTCATCACCGAGCCGACCCCAATGGCCATGCTCCAGGGCTGGGTGTGGCCATGAAGACCACTCTGGTTTGGTCTCAGCTAGGGAGAGGCTCCTTTGAACAGTCCCCAGGTGCCAGCTATGTGCCCGCCCCACAGAGGGGCTCCCGCAGGCCTCCTCTCATCTCATCCTCAGGACTTCTGATGGAGGTGTATTTCTTTTCAATAGAGAAAGGAGCTACAGCTCAGCACGGTGGAGTCCCTCTCTGAAGATCACACAGTAGGAAGGGACAGCTGGAGTGAATGTATTTGTGACGGTCCTGTCTCTGCCCTAACCTCCCGTTTCTTCTGCTCTGTAGCAAGCAGTGGCAGAGGCAGGGGTCACCCCAAAACTCTCAGGGACAAAGTGAAGCATAAAGGCAGGCGGGAAGGGATGGGGAAGGCAGGGACAGCCAGCTGGCTCAGCACTCACCACCCCTTCCCCTGGGGAAGGCCCAGACAGGACAAGGAAAGGCCTAGATGGGAGAACCCAATGTGGGGTATGGCGTCCCTCCCTCACGTACCACCTGTCCTGTCCCGGAGATGCTCACCTTCCGTCTTGATTTTAAGAGCCGTCCGAACCAAAGCAAACAGAGTTGCATTAAACATGACTGTCCCATCGCTGTTGAGAGGCATGTTCATGGCAACTAGTCTCTGTAAACAGAAAGAAGTTTCTCAACAGAAGGCAAATGATGGAGGATGACCACGTCCCTTGACGGTGTTTATTCTCAGTTTATCCCTCACCTTCTTTCCAGTCGACACGCAGTTCAATTCAACAACTCGCTGGGGGAGTACCCACCATCTGTGGGGACCCTGGAGCTGACACAGATCAAAGCTTTATCATGAAACGCAAATGCTGGCACTAAATGGTGTGCTTTGCTTGTTTTTAAGCCCCACTGTTTAATCACCTCACTGTTCAAGTCTTCTTCTCTCCCCTTCTGCTAAGCGGCCATCCCTGCGTCCTGGGGTCAGGCCTCCCTTCAGGGCATGTCCTTAAGGCTGTCATGAGGGGTGAAATAATACACCAGGTACAACCAGCCAGGCACAGGGCTTGGGACTTGGTTCCTCACTGTTCCTAGCACAGGGAGTGTCCTTCAGGGAACCCTGCCCCGTGGGGCTGTCATGTAGTGCTTCCTGTGAGTCCGCGCGGTGGCTCTGTCTGGTCTTCCAGGGCAGGACCCCCACCTCCTGCTCCTCTTCCCGCTCCTGGTCCCTCGAACACCAGCCCTGAGAGCTGGGGAGGGGACTTGAGTGAGTGACACCCTCTCTGGGCCCCAGTTACCTCCCCTGCAAATGCAGGTGGCACGCCTAGTTGGGATTAAGGGAGATCATGGACGCTAAGATTTCGGGGGACGCCTGGCACGTGGTCAGAGCTGAGTTAAGTGCTACTTGTAACTGTTAATAGTTCCAAACTTCTTGTTTTTGGCTGGCAAGCCATCCTAAGAGATTTGTAACACTTTTTCTCTTCCCTATTAGCAGCCTGGAATCTTGTGTTCACGTGACTCATCCCACCTAAATTTCTAGCCCTGAGACCAACCACGTCTGTCTCCAAAACTAGCACTGGCAGCCAGGATGGCTAGCATGTACATTTGCTTTTCCCAGAAAGTTCCTGAATCGGCAAAATGGACCACTTTGTGCCTCAAGGATACTTAGATCTTTTATGTAAAAAGGTCTGGAAACGTAAACACAAAACGACAGCCATGAGCTGGAACCCATCTTGTTCTGAAAGCAGAAAAGAGGCTGGTACTGGAAAATTTAAGAAAAAAAAGTCAACTTCGGTGGCTTATTCTCTGTACCTACATCCGGAGTCCAGGCTACAGAGAGGCAAAGACAGTGGCAAAGATCCCAAGGACTTGCCAACGAGGGTTTCTGGACTTTCAGGGCAGGGAACAAAGAGTTTTTCTCCAAAGATTTTTTGAAAGCCTAAGATGCAGTGTAGACCCCACTCTGTTACAGTGGGTTCTGTCTAGAGCTGGCCCCGCAACCCTGGAGCAGTAAAACCCCCGATCCCAGAAGCACCTCAGACCTGCAGGGAGAGGGCCCAGCTGTCGTGTGGACTGGCTGGATTTCTAGGGGCAGAGTCGCAGTTTCCATCTCCTTCAGAAAGGAGAATTCTCTTCTGTTGCTACTGCTACACTGACTCAAAGCGGTTCCCTGTGAGCTCTAAGGAAGGAGAACAAATCTCAGTTGGGGCTCACAGACAGCTTGGTATGGTGTGAAAACTACAGGGACGGGGTGGGGATCTGGACCCATCCCCGAGAGGCCACTGCTGATGCACGGCCCATGGGGACAGGTGCTCTGGCAGCAGAGGGGCACGCCACCACGTTCATGGTCACTCAAGCGAGTAAATGTTCAGGGCACCAAGTCTTCTCCATTCTACTTCCCAAGGAGAGCTTCGGTCGGCCGTACCCTCCTCTACCCCACCTCCACTGCCCTCGCTCTGGCTCCTGTCACTTGACATGGAGACTCCAGCAGCTCTCAGGGAGGTCCCCTGCCTCGGTTCACTCTCCCGTCGCCAAGAGGCCACTTTCCACCGTGAAAGTCCACCCGTGCTTCTTTCACGGGACTCGGCGTGGCATGGGAGGCTCCTTGGAGCTGTGCTCGGCTTGTGCCTGCAGTCCTCTGCCATTTCCTCTTATGTTCTAGGCACACCAGTGACTCTCCGTTTGCCAACATGGTGACCGTTCCCCTGCCTCTGCATCTGAGCTCTCTGTGTTCCCTTTCTGCAATGCCCTTCCTGCTCCCACAAACTCCCACTTCTCTCCTTCTGGACCTGACACAAAGGTCACCTTCCCCTCCACCCACCCGGTGACAAATTACTTAACTCCCTTCCTATTCTTCCTGTCGCTGACAGGGTGTCTTAAGAGTTACAAATGTGATAGCTCCTCAGGACAGGAACCACATATTATTTATCTCTGCAGCCCCAGCACGCCTGATGTAAGGCTGGCAGAATGTTACTTAACGTTTGTTGAATGAAGCAGGGAGTCCCTGCAGAGAGGCCATCAGACACGCAGACAGGACACTTACCTTACAGGCTACTCTGTGTGGGCATAATTTCCCAAACCCCAGGGGAGGCTGGATTCTGCGGAGCAGAGTGACCACATCAAGGTGCTTGATCCTTCCCCTGGAGACAAAGTACAGCAGGAGGTCCAGGGAAGCGTTGGCTGGCCTGAGCTCTCAGCCCATCCTGCCTTCCACAGAAATCACGGCCAACGTTCCAGAAACAGCCCACACAAATCACACGGAACCCTTTTCAACTTACTTTGCCTCAGGGTCATATTCTGACCATATTCTTTTGAATTCATCCAAATGGTGAGGCCCCAGAATAGACCAGTCCCGGGTCAGATAATCAAAGTTGTCCATGATGACAGCTACAAACAGGTTGATGATCTGAAAAAGCAAATCAGAGGCAAAGAAGCTGCAGCTGTCATAGTGGAATGGCTAGGGTTAGACCTTAGTAAGGGCCTCCTAATTATAAGGGTCATGAAACGTTTGGAACCCATTTTTCTACGAGAGGCAGTAAAAACTTTCTTTCTGGAAAATGTTTAAGAAAAAGGCAGGCTTCCAGCTTTCCAAAATGACTTTGGTATAGTCCCAGGGGGAGGCAGGGGGCTGTATTATCCTGCCTTTTTGAAGCACATTCATTGCCGCCAAATAACTCGCACTGTTAGGTCACTGCTACCTGCGGTGGCTTTGAAACATTTTATAAAGACACCAGCAGCCCTAAGAAGCTTGGTGAGTGTCCCAAGCCTGTAAGTGAGCCTCAAGCCCCTGTTTACAACCAAGGTGATGGTTATGCACCTGGCAAGGCAAAACCTCCAACTGCCAAATGAAGCCTAGAGTGCTCATCAACATACAATGCCCATAGCAGGGGTGCCTGGGTGGCTCTGGTGGCTCTGTTGGTTAAAACACGACCTCGGCTCAGGTCGTAATCTCCGAGGCCCATGGGTTCATGTCCCATGTTGGGCTTTGAGCTGACAGCTCAGAGCCTGCAGCCTGCTTCAGATTCTGTGTCTCTCCTCACCGCCCCCCCCTTCTCTGTCCCTCCCCCACTCGTACTCTCACTCTTTCAAAAATAAATATAACATTAAAAAAATTAAAAAAAAATACCCCACAGCAATTCGATAGGGACGATATTCGTGATCTGAATCCCAAATGCTATACAAGCACCTGTCAATTGAGAAAGGGAGCTCTCGTGATCACCCACCAGAAATGCGCAGAGCATGTAAAAACTGATGAAATAAACAATGGCGAAGTTGCTTCCACACGTGTACTCCTCCCCGGGGCTGTAATCCGACTCGGGGTCACAGAGCTTCCCCGGGAGGCAGGCCAGCATGATCTCCTGCCAGGCTTCCCCTGTGGCACACCTTGTTTAGATTAACAAGAGAAAGGGCTTTAGCAGAAGAAGAAGGGATTTGAAGCTTAGACCTTTCCGAAATTTTTAAGAATTTTTTTAAAAACAAAAGTTTTAAGTAGAGCAAAATCTAAGTAATTTGGGGGAGAGGGCACTTTAGATTAGTGAAAATTCTTAAATTGAAATTCCTACTTATTTTGAAATGCAACGTCTCTGAGTCCACAGAGGCCCTGCTACAGCTCCCTTTGGTTTAAAACAATCCTTTGAGGGGTGCCTCGGTGGCTCAGTTGGTTAAGCATCTGATTTTGGCTCAGGTCATGACCTCATGGTTCCTGGGTTCGAGCCCCCTGTCAGGCTCTGTGCTGACAGCTCAGAGCCTGGAGCCTGCTTCAGATTCTGTGTCTGCCCCTCTCCCGCTCGTGCTCTGTCTCTTTCTCAAAAATAAACATTAAAAAGTAAACAAATCATTGGATACATGCACATCAATTCTTTTTGCATAAACAGATGTTTGTTTTTGTGTCTTCTCTTCTTTAAATGCTCATGTTCCAATCTTTAAATAATTATTAATTATGTTTTAATGACTTAACACCTGACTTGAGTAGACACCCATTCAATTTTGTTGGAAACAAAGAACTGGAAACCACCCAACTGGCAAATGGCTTGCTATTCAATCACTAGAATCATTAGAAAGTACGTGTATAACTTCTAGAAAGTTCTCTCACCTCAAAGCACCTTGTTCACAAAGTTCACCGGGGTTAAAAACAATCCTATAAAATCTGAAATTGTGTATGTTCCCCACTGGCCGTGTAAAGGTCTCTCTGCTCTTGCTAAATTTCATGGTTGTATTTAGACACGTGCTCCCACGTGTCAGCATATAACCTACCATTTCCTGGTGGCAGTAGAAGACCTACTAACTTACAAAGGGATAACTCTTAAGCCAGCCATGGTCTGAATGGCCACAGCCATTTTCACCATCCAGAAAAGTTCCTCTGTGACTGACATGCCAGCGTCTCTGTTCAAGAATTCAAAACAAATACAAACAGCCACCATGATCAACCAGGAAAGGCCCCGCAAAACACATGCCCCGTGTCACACCGGAGCCTGGAGCCTGGAGAGAGATGTGCCTCGTGGGATGAAGTCACCTGAAGAGCAGCAGCACTGCCTGGGGAAAGGTCTGGAAATTGTTGTTCCTGTTGATCTGGTTGTTATCTCTCATAGCAACCTTCCCAAACATCTAGGTGGAAAAATTTTTAGGGAAATAAAGATTTTGTCAAACAAACAAACAAACAAACAAACAAAAAACCCCCACAATTATCCCTCCCCCGCAAAAAACTACCCAAAAAGCAGATTCCACATGTGAATTTAGAACTAACACGAGTTTGATCAACACCCACTAGGGCTTTCTCATGGTGCTTGGGCACTTCATTCACTCAACAAACATGCCAGGCAGGGTGCTAACCACGGGTGGCGCGGTGCTGAAGTCAGGCACACCCTCACATCAGGGAGTAACTACCAGGAAATCAGACAGACAGCCCCCACCCCGAGGACAGCTGGGATGATCCAGATGGACAAGGAAGCACATAATGTATCTGAGGCCTCTGGAGCAGTGACATTTAGGCCCAGAACTGAAGGAAAAGTAGAGGCTGGTCAGGTGACGAGGAGGACTCAGTGTTCAGGCAGAGGAAGCATGGCCTGTGAAGGAGCAGAGGCGACACGGCCCCGGAGCTCCAGGAAATGAAAAGAACATGAGTGTACACAGACAAAAGATTGGGCTGCAGACAAGCGTGGGGCCGGTGAGCTGCGGAAAGGAGGGCGGCCTCTACTTGAAGGGCCAGGGGAAGTCAGCTGTGGAACTTGGAGGAGCAGGCCAGTTTAGAAGAGTGTGATGCCCGGCAAAGCCTCCTGAGTGAACCGGTGACGGAACGTGCAATATGCAGGGTGCAGTTTCCTGAGACCGCTCTCGTTCTGTGGGAGGACACCAGGTCGTCGAAGACCCTTCAGGGCACACGGCATCCCATGCTGAGCTGCAGGTGCTCAACTGTGTCGACTCTATGTTCATAACTCCCAATAAGATCCCTAGCGAACTGCCAATGTTCCTATGCCTTCAGATAAGTAAGCACAGCCACCTCTCTGCTCTGGAGTCCCCCACCTCTTTGACACTCACATCCCTCTTATCTGAAAGACAGCATCCAAGCCAGCAGAGAATGTGGCAGAGAAACCCCCCAGGGGGTCCAGCAGGCTGTGCTCCATCCCCCTCTCCTCCTGGAGGCTGCACCTACTCCACTGGGGCTCAGCAGGGAATGAAGCCCCAGTCCCTTTCCTCCACTCCAGGAGAAGCAGGGAACAATCCTGTGGCACCTCAGTCATGGTCACAGAAAGGCCTGGTTTCATGCTTCTTTTTTAAAGGGGGTGCTACCGATGCCAACTAATGGTTCCAGTTGAGCCCCAGCCCCAGCATCTGGGAGCCGCCGGTCTCAAGTAAAAATCTCACTTGGTTGCGATAAAACCTAACTTTCCGGACTATAAACAGCCTTCTGTATCACTAATATCTCCTTAGTTACATCAGTACAGAAACTAGAACAACTATAGCTTTTTTTAAGTGCTGCATTTCCTGTTGCTAAACCAACTGTGGGTTTTCTCAATCAGTTGAGTCTCCCAGGACTCAGATTGGGGGGTGAGGAGTACCACTAAACCCAGCCTTCCTTGGCATATCCCTACCTCTGCTGGCTCCTGAGCCTGGCTCTCCCTGGCACAGGTGCTTTCCTGTGGAGTGCTCTCCTACAGAGCCACGTCCTTCTCATCTCCATATGTCTTCAGTAGCCAAGGCGTTTGGCTGGAAAATCACAACCCTGTCTTTCCATTCTGCCTGGCCAAGGCAATCTTGCCACAGATCTGGGGCTACCCAGAGAAGGGGAAGCTGGGGGAAAGTGGCTGGTGCTTACCTGCATGCCAATAACCGCGTAGATGAAGAATAGCATGGCTATGAGGAGGGCGACATAGGGCAGTGCCTGGAAGAGAGGAAGCCTTTGGCTCAGTACCAGCTTCTTGTGTCCTCCTCCACCCCCCGTGACTGCTCAGGTGCAGAATGAAGACCCAACACAGGGTCACATGCTTCTCTTTTCCAGGTTGTGTTGAAAGGACGCCAACAGTGAACAAGGACTTTTTAAACCACAGCCCAGCACGATGATTTCAGTCCTGAGGGCACCATCCATCTGTACGCCTCGTGTTATGAAGCTACAGGCAGAAGTGCTTTCCACCATCATTAATAGTGTGCCCTGATCCGAAACAGTGTCAATGCAGACACATCACCCTCACAACAACGTTTACATCCGTCATTAGATTCCTTTGTGAAATTACCATAAGTGATCAAACCATTCCAGAACACTGGATGTTTGGATTGCTTCCACTTTCTTTTGTGGGCATGTTTGGGGTGGGGGCGAGGGGCTACTGTAGATCACGTTGCAGAGTTGCAGAGTAACATCTTTATGCAAAATCTCCCGTGTCTGCTGAAGTATTTCTTTAAGGGGAGGTCTTAGGAATGACACTGCTGGAGCAGAGGAGAAGAACCCCTTTCCAGATGCTGCTATAGAAAGCAAGATAGCTTTCTTAAAATGAACACCTCCTGAAGGAACCAGAGTTGGGGGTTGGGTCAGGGAAGAAAAGGAGCTAGCCGGGTGGTGGCCAAACCTGGGTTCTCCTTAGGACTGAACATTAAATACACATATATGTGTCGGGTCCTTCAATCCATAATCTTCACCTGCTTTTCTACATCATGTTGTGTGACAGGAGATGTCTGTGCACGTGGCACGCCTCCAGGCAGAGGCCGGGTTGTTGAACTCAATGCCAAGCGCACATGCTTAAAGCATCCGCTTTCCCTTTTACTCAAAAAAGGCCACCAGAAAGCCAGCGGCTATAAGCTCCCTGACCTGTGCCAGCTCTGGATCTGTGACTGCCAACTGCTGATCAGAGCCCCGCAGAGTTAGTTCCAGGCTTTCCTCACCACACCTACACGCATTTTCTTCCTAGATGACGGAGTCTTTCAGAATTCCTTTGGCACCGTTTCTCAGTTTTTGTGAACTACCACCCTGTGAAATGAATTTATCTACAGCGACCAAATCTTTAAAAAGGAAAACTTTAATAATTCCTTGAAAAGCGAGGATGACACGATTACGTAAAACTATTCCATTTTTTACAGCAGTTCGTTCTCAGACTTTGGTACTTTATATTAATAACAAACATCTGGGATTTTGTCTCTTACCGAGACCAAGGCTCCCGTGAGGCCCCACTTGCTCTCTCTCTGAGCTTCGTGCCTGGTTTTTCCTACAACCTCATTTCCCCTGCCAGGATTTGGAATTTTCCTTCTTTGAGTTTTTAGATCTACCCCCTTCCCCAGATGCCATCCCTTCCCTTTATGTGTTAAAATCCCACCCACTGCAGAAAAATGCTATGTGGGATGTTAGCCGGTGTTACTTCTCAATGTGAATGTTTATTACTTTCAAATTAAAGATAGTCAAACAAAGAAAGATTCATGATTTGCACATAGCTACAAATCCCCTACATAGGTGAATCTTTTTGATGAGAATCTGTACCCTGTCCTCAGTTAATTCCATCTAGAAGACTAGAACGTCTGGGATGGAGTACTAGACAGTACTGGAGAAGCCGGGTCCTGGTTGAGGAATAGACTAGAACCAGCCTGCACCAGCCTGGAGAGTCACAGATGACAAGGGAGGCTTGGCTTATGCCCAAATGTCCTCAACGCTCTGATCCTTCCAGGCACCGGGTAACACATTGCTCCGTGATGGTGTGCCGGCCCGGGTGAAGGGGTCTCTGGTTCGTGTGTAGACCGGCCAACAGATAGGACCATGGCAGCCCAAGAAGCTGTCCTGGCAGGAGGCTGTTAGGTTTGCAGGGGTCACCTGGGACCTGCCCTCTCTCAGATGTCACCATTCACCACTGGGTATCCCAGGGAGGACTGAGGGGCTTCGAGGCTCCCCATCTCTACTAGTCTTAGAAAGGTTACACCTGTCCTCCGCTGTGGGTCCTTACTGCCTTTGGTTTCCTCTTAGCAAGTGATCCTGTTTGATTCACTGAGTCCGGCTGGGTCAGGTGCCTTCCGCATTCCACTCCCTCTATTGACTCAGGGGATCCCAGTGGCCATGCCGAAGGGAGTCCCGGTCCTCCATGACAGAGGATGCTCACTGGTTCACATGTGGTCTTCAGGAGCAACAGATAAGCCCCTTGTGGGGCTCTTACCTGAAAGGACTTTATAAAAGTCCACAGCAGTGTCCGGATGCCTTCCCCCCTGCTGAGAAGCTTCACCAACCGCATCACTCGGAAAAGACGGAAAAAGGTGATGGAGATTCTATTGCTCTCTTCAGAGTTCTGAAGGGTTATCATGGAGAGGTCAAACCCAATGCAAAGTAGAACATGCAACACTTTCAGAAAAACAGCAACAGAGGCAAACAAAGGTGACAGAGGTAAGAGTTGAAGATGTGTTTCTAGGGCCTTTTCACCTTAAAAAGCATGATATGAAAGGAAGAGTTACATGCTAACAACACAGGGCTTGGAAAACCGCGTCCACACAGCACATGCATGCCCACGTGGTCTAGTGTGTTAAGAGGAGAACGCCGGGCTGGCCAAGAGTACTGGACACTGATGATGAATGCAAACCACTGCAGACACTGTTCTGGAAGGACAATCATGGAGAATACAGAAACACTAGTGGAAAACTCAGCATGGTCAAGGAAAAGGCCCAGCCCCGGGGGGACTCATCACTGATCTTACCCCGGGTGTAGCGGTGGGGACAGGGACATTGTCACTTTCAGTTGGCTTTAAGAAATCAAAGATTGAAAATGTATTAATGAATGGAAAGGAAGCAGTGGTTCAGAAGGATGGGCCCCTCCCCCCTTTATAACAATGTGTGGTTAATGTCCCAGGACAATGCAGCTGCTCCCTCCCTGAGAAGATGCCAGGGGCTCTGCCTGGACCCGGACTTGAGGGTGGGCAGCCTCGGACACAGGCTCAGACACGCTACTTTCTAATTCACATCCTGGGACACAATGCGCCAAGGTGGGCGGGCATCCAGTGAAAGAGAACACTACAGGACCTCAGTTGCTCCCAAAGACAGAAATGCGCGGTGGGACCCTGCATCTCACGGGCAGGCTAGTTCTCTTGGCCGAGGCTGGGTTGTGGGTCCAGGGAATGAACTGCTCTTCAGGCCACCCCTAGCCCCGAGGAACAGAATGAGGCTACTGAACGGGGCAGGGAGACTGGCACCTGCCTGTGGCCCACACACCTCCTGGGCCACATGCCTGGGCAAGGTGTCCTACAGCCCTTGTGGTGGAGGTGAGCAAACCAAGTCAGTGTGGGTGGGAGAGGGGCTTTAATGCCCAGCCTACAGCCCAGACTGCTGGCAGAGAGGACGGCGCTCAGCACCGTGTGACTCCTGGGAAGCAGCAGCATGGGACCAGCCCGCCCTGAGCTTCCATACTTCCACCTCCTCTGAGGTCTGGCTGGGTGCCTCTCACTCGGGCCCCAGGGGGCTGAACCACAGGGCTCCCCACCCAGTGGACACCTGCCTCTTCTTCAGGTTGGGGGTCCCCTGAGGGTGGGACCTTGCTTCACTCCACTTGGTGCCCTGCATGAGGCACTTACTCATTAGATGTTCAGTAAGTGTTTAGGAGAGTGGAAAGAGGTCGTAAGCAAGCTCTTCCAGACGTCGGGAGGCACCATGAAATTAAACAGAAGACTGAGCAAGAGATAGGAACAGCCTCTCTGTTCCCTTTAGGAGGGCCAGCTCCACGGAAGCAGCCGGTCTACCTGGTAACTGGCAAAGGAATGAGCCTCTTCTGGTTGGGGGCCCGGGCTGCTGAGTATTTACCAGGGTTTCTAGGGAGCCTTCTGCATGGTGTGTCTGCACAGCTAAGGTACATATGCACACACATAGATGTGCACACAAATCTGAGGGAGGGGTTCTCCTCCCTGGGGATACAGGGAAAGTAAGGGCTCCGTTCTGGAATCTCACTCTTATTAACAGCTGCCTCCTGAGACCAAATACAAAAATCACAGAAAACAAGAGTTGGGCATGTCACATCACTACTGAAATTCAGCAGTGTGACAACAAGCCCAGGACTGACAGGTTCTGAAAGGGTGGAAAGGGGGTTCCTGGTTCACCCGGGATGCTCAGAATGCAAACTCTCCAATGGCACAGGCCAAGCCCCTGTCAACTGTTTCTATTTTCCTCTTTTCTCTCACCTCAAGACAAAGAACATCCCCTTAAAGGGACAGATGATGGTTTTTAACTTCTGACTTTAACCAATGAAGGAATTAGTTTTCCAAACCTCTGTCTCCCAACCCCATCTCCCTCAGGGTTGTCAGCACGAGGCTTGGGTCGCACCCATGCAGCCAGAGTGCAAGGGCATGAGTACAAGGGTGTGTGTGAGCATGCACACCCCTGCCTGCCTGTGCTCAAGGGGGCCAGAGGGTGCACAAGAGAGAGCACTCTACAGTTATACTTTGGAGATGTCCGACCTGCAAGAATAAGAGGTCTGTTGGTCGGGGAAGACACTCCCTGGCTACGACCTGGCCACAGCCCCTTCTGCCTGTCCTCCACATCCCGTTCCAAGTCAGATGGACCTCTCACCGCCCCCTCCCCCTCACAATGTGGGAAGTCAGCAGCCAAACTGACTTTTGAGGGGGACATCTCTTCCAACTGGTATCTTTGAAGTATGGCAAATCTTAGACTAGGAAGTTGAAACCCTGGATATCCTTTTAAAAACAAAGAGGAGGACAAGACAGCATTTGTGGAGGGACAGGTCAGCACAACATGCAGCAAGGGCAGAGACAACAAACAGCACAGCAATCCACGTGCACCCCCAGCGCAGCCTGCGACACCTTCTCCTGCGCTCAGCGCCACGCCGGCCAGGGGGCACAGGTGCAGGGGAGGACGCTGCTGGCCGCACCGGGGGACGGCGCAAGTTGCCAAAATATCTTACGGATTGGAAGGACCCTAAAGATGGCTTTGCCCAAACTACAAATGCCAGCCAGATGCAAAGGGCGGGCCAGCTCTCACCCTGGGCTGCACATTCCAACTGCCTGGGGGTCTTTGACAGAATCTACTGCCTGGGTTCCACTCCAAAGATTCTTCTCTAATTGGGCTGGCGTGTGCCGGGGCTTTAGGAGTTTTAAAAGCTCCCAGGTGGGCGCCTGGGTGGCTCAGTCGGTTGGGCATCCGACTTCAGCTCAGGTCATGATCTCACACTCTGTGAGTTCGAGCCCCACGTCAGGCTTTGTGCTGACAGCTCAAGGCCTGGAGTCTGCTTTGGATTCTGTGTCTCCCTCTCTCTCTGCCCCTCCCCTGCTCATGCTCTGTCTCTCTCTGTCTCAAAAATAAATAAATACACTAAAAAAAGAAAGAAAGAAAAGCTGCCAGGTGATTCTAAGGCCCTGCTAGAGGGGAATGGCAGTCCTAGGCCGGGGTAAAGCTGGGCACTCTTCAGATGGTCACTCACACCAGCAAATTCCTTTAAGGTGTGGATTGGCCATAACGAGTGGGGCCCCTAGAAAAGCCCACTTAGGCCATTACAGCTGAGCAGTGGGTTCTACTGGAGTTGATGAGGGTTCAGTACTCTAACAATGTAAACAGGTTAGAATGCATCCCTATCTTTCCCCTGGGGGTGGGGGGGGGGCTCGGAAACAGCAGGCTGTGAAGCGTGCGGTGGGAACGTGGGTGAGCTGACTCTCTATGCGATTCCAGAATCAATGACAGGATGCTCTCAGAGGCTGAAACCGGAAAAGAGCTCACTCCCTGGGGAGTTTTCCAAAACCAATCGCCGGGGCTGCATGGCCGGTCCTCACAGAGGGGACTGCGGTGCCACCCCTGGCCTTGGGCTAGTGGGCCTGGGCAGCTCCTTCTAACCATGAGGTGCCAGTGTCTTCATCTGGGAGCCCCACAGGGAGACTGCCCTCAGCCCCAGGTGGCCAAACCATATGCAGGGGCCCAGAAATCTCTGTAGATCCCTGGGAGCTCTCCTGACATTCCCTCCAGCCTCTTCACACAGGAAGACCAGTGAAAGGCTCTTGAGATGCAGGGCCAGGGCCAGCCCCCAGCAACTATAAGAACCAAACAAGCCCTGAGTTTCCCAAGTGCAACCAAAGATCAGTCTGCACTTGCTGTATTAATTCCCATCTTTTCCTGGTAAGGCTGAGATGATGTGGTTTTCCAATTCAGACAGGAAGCAAACCGGCATCCCAGAACCAGTTAACTCAAGGCATCCCACTCTTTGCAGGGGATGGGATGGGGAACTTCCCTCTGGCTACTTCTTTTTTTTTTTTCAACGTTTATTTATTTTTGGGACAGAGAGAGACAGAGCATGAACGGGGGAGGGGCAGAGAGAGAGGGAGACACAGAATTGGAAACAGGCTCCAGGCTCCGAGCCATCAGCCCAGAGCCCGACGCGGGGCTCGAACTCACGGACCGTGAGATCGCGACCTGGTTGAAGTCGGACGCTTAACCGACTGCGCCACCCAGGCGCCCCTCCTCTGGCAACTTCTGACTGGGCACATAACACTGCTGGGAGAGGCAGCTTCTGTATATGGGAATGCTGAGTCTGTGAAGTCAGTGACCTGGCCCCTGGAAAAGGGCTGGCTTCTGGAATGGAGAGCTGAACGACCAGAAGCTGAGCACAGCTGTTGGTCACCTGGTCCAAACTGGGTACCTGACAGGCCAGGGACAACTGTTGGGTCCCTGGCAGTACGCTCCCTACTGACTTTTCACATGCTCTTCAGTAAGTGAGAACAAGGCAGTCACGGTTTCTGCACAAATATTTTGCCTCTCTAGCAATAACAACAGTGGGAAAAGACTCCGTGCTGGCAACAGCCACTGCCCGGGTTAAGGAGAATGGGGTGCTCTGTCATTTCCCCATTCAAGGCACCAACAGGCATCTGAGGGGGAGCAAAAGCGAGCCTACCAGTCGCCATCTGACATTTTAGCAGCTTGGTGATGTTACGACCAGATGTGATAAAGACAAGTCTTCGAGAGCCATCAGACCACGGTCAGAGCAGGGTAGGGTATGTGGGGCGGGGGCAGCAGGAGAGGGCTGGGTAAGCATCAAGCAGGACAACAGAAAGGGCCATCCAAAATGTTTTTGCAAACAGTGTAAGCACGAGCTAGGTTTCTCATTTGCGGGCCAGATCAATCATTCTCGAGGACTACGTTGGCAAGTCACAGAGCCAAGCGTGACTGACCAAGACGGCCCTGGCCCAGACCCCAGCTGGAGACTGGACACAGGGGAAAGGAAACAATTTAGATGGCCCTGAGCCATACATAGCACACCCCGTGAAACTCAGTGAAAACCACAGGTGGGGGAAGCCAAAAACAAGTATACAGTCTTTAGAGTGCTTTTGCTTTAACGACATCACCGTATATATGTTTATATATACTTGCCGCTACAATTTTCTAAAAATAAAACCAACATGAAAATCAATTAGGTAACAGAAAAGGAAGATCGACAGAGATTGGGGGAGAGAGCACAGCAGGTTAAATATCGCAAAAAATGATGACTTATTGCAGCTAAAAACAGCCAACGTGGACCAAGGGCGTTCAAGCTGATCTGGCCCAGGGTCTTGGGGGGTGAGGCCAGCAAGGGTATGATGTGAGTTGCTCTACCAGGGAACTAGGCATGCGCAGGAGAGGGCGATGTAGGAATTCCCAGCTCCACCCAGTTATACCATCAGGGGTTGAGGACATCTGGTCTCTTCTATCTTTGTGCCCATGACCCGCGAATTCTACGTGCCCAGGACATGTGCGGGGAGAGACTGAGTGAATGAGAAGGTGGCCTTGAGCAATCGCTGTGCAATGCAGCCCAGCACAGAGCTGCCAATCTCCCCTAGGGGTTCTACTTCTACCAGAGTGGACAACCGGCTTGGCCACCAGCTGAGGGAGGTTTTGTCTCAGGCTACATCTGACCGCAGGGAAAGTCACCGACTAGAAAACAGTAGGAGACTGTTCACCAGTGTGATTTTGAAAGTCCAACTGAGTGCCAGAAATGGGCCCAGTGAAAGGTTGCTTTGTGCAGACACCTCAAAGTCAAGTGCTAACTAGGAAATCCAGTGTGGGTTCTTGTACCCCTGCAGCTTTCCTGACTGTCCGATACAACACGAGGGAGGACACGTGTGAGACACCGATGAGCAAGGCTGGGCTAGAGGGGATGGGCGTGGTGCACGCCTGCCCCCAGCATACGGAAGGGCAGCCAGGAAGCTGGGCACGTGCTGTCGACCGAGGCCACCAGCGCCACACCCTGCCAGCCAGCGGGTGGTTGAGGCACTGGAGAGCTGGCTTGTTGGCTCGGCCAACAAACCTTGGCCACATCCTGGTACCCAGAAACTAAGTAGTTATGCCCACTGCCTGCACATCACTTTGAGCACAGAGCACTCCAGGGAGACCTGCTGAAACTGTAGCTTATTCAATTTTCATCCCCATTATAGGCCATCTCTGACTTACGTAAGGGTCTGTTCCAGAACTTCCACGTAAGCATACTTTGATGAAGGCTCTAAGCGGTTTACATCGGGAGACGGTTAAGCAGGCATATGTCTGGTCATAAATTCAGGAGAGAGCCCCTGGCAGCCCAGTTAGGGTCCTGCTGTTCTGCCATTAGCATTAGATTATTTTATAACCGAGCATAACTTACACGTTATGAATGACAACTTTATAGCTGAGTTATGGAATATTTCACATAAAGTGGAATTTACATAAGTCTGGGCTTATGGAGGTTAGGGAGGGTGTATCTTCCTAAGTCTAGTAAAATACCACTTTGCTGCCTTGTCGTGGCATGGATTTGGGTGTCATGAGGCTTAAATCACACCCTCGTGGACCTGTCTTATAGTCCATTTTACCTATCTGTCCACGGAAAATCTACACTTGGAATAATAGCTTTGTATCTCCCTAATATGTTAGGTTTTATAGCAGATATTTTCACAAAATTTCACCCCAACATACCTATGAAGTTGGAAGGGCACATAGCACTCACCCCAGTCGATCCATGGGGGGAACTGAGGCCCCGGGTCCAACAAGTCAGTTTTGAACCAGGACCAGGACTGACTGTCAGGCCTGAGGAGTGCCAGGCCAGCAGCTGTCCCACTGTTCTGTGCTCCAGGATTAGCATGGCCCCGAAGCAGTGGCATTAAAAAGGACTGCACCGTCCCTGTTTGATACAGGCTGTCTGGACACCAGGATGGGCTGTACAACCCTGCAAATGTCAGCCAGGCAGAGCAAGGAGGCCTCTTCCCGGCCAGGGGTTGGGGAGGAGGGCTGGGCTGGCCACATGGAGCAGAAAGCCAACACCACACAGCAGTCCTACCCCATGCTCCACTCATCCCCACAACGGGCTCTACACAACAGGGGTACACACGTCGGACACCCACTCAGACTCGCTGACGAACTGGGGACAGACCAGGCGAGCAGGGCCGTTTCTGCTTCACATCTTTCTGGTTTAGGCACGGGCTAGATGCAAGAGGAGCTGGCAGGAGGCAGTGCTCCCCGTGAAGGAGGGTTCTTAGGATGCTTCCTGAAGGGTGGGGGTCACTCCACCTACCACACTGCTACTGCACTTGTTTCCTTACTAAAGGGTTTGATCAAGTGCAACAATGGAGAATGGACACCCTCTCCCAATACACACGAGGCCCCCCTTCCCTTGGTTCAGGGCAGCCTTCGACCTACATCATCGTTTGGGGAGCTAGGACAGCGGGTATTCCCCAGTGCCACCAGCCAGACTCAGCAGGTACACAAGGTACAGGTGAGGACACAGCAGCAGCTGCCACGGGTTCATGGTGTGGCTGTGAAGTTTCCCTCCTGTGCCTTCACAGAACTGCTGCGGGTACAAGGGCACACGTTATGAACTCCGTTTTGCAGCTAGAAAAACTGAGGCTCAAAGCAGTCAGGTGACCAGCCAAGGTCACACAGCTAGTGAGTGATAATGTTCACATACTCACATACATTAACTCCAAGCCCTTAAGAACTTAACAAGAACTTTAAAAAAAAAAAAATAATGCTTTAGTTCCAAAATGGCAATTCTACATTTACTTCTCCACTCTCTTTTGGGGGAGAGGGGTGGGGTGAGGGAAGGGGCGACTACAAAATGTTCGTCTTTTAAAACAAGCATACGTCTGAATTTCTAAAGTGCAGGAAGGCCCACGGATAGCGTTTCTAGGCACCCGAGTGTTAGACTTAACAAAAACAATCACGTTACAGGACACAAAATTTGCTACTTACATTCACTTCAGTTATAGCAATATCAACGACGCTACCAACAACAATTAAGGCATCAAAAGTGTTCCATGCATCAGTGAAATAGTGCTGTTAGGGCAAGCATTCAGAAGCCACAGAGAGGAAGCACAACAGGAAAAAAGAAGAAAAGGACAGTGTTATAAAAGGGGAACATTCTAGCATTATGCCACCCGGCTACTTGAAAAATCACCCTAAAACAAACACACGTTACAGGTACATCACTTTGGGTGTTGCTGCTGACACAGCGAATAAAAACAATTAGAGACGCCCATCTCGCCCTGCCTACCAGTGACTTGGGAAATGCTGCAGGAGTCAGCCCTCCAAAAGGTGATCTGTGTCTGGAAAGGCCTGGGATAAAGCTCTACCCTCACAAGCCTCTTGTCCACGGCTCTCATTAGAAATGCCTGGTTTTAGATCAAGTGAAGTTGGGACCTGTGACTTGTCCAGGTGATGCCAGTGCGGGACAGGGAGCGGAATGTGCACAGACAGAGAGAGAACACGAGGCGGGCGGCCACGGCGGGCGCATACTCACGTCGGCTTCGCTGAGGGCCACGTCTATAATGCTGCCGATTACGATGAGGGAGTCAAACGTGTTCCAGGCGTCACTAAAATACCCCTGGACAGAGCAGGCAGGGGGCAGACGTTTATGAGCACGTAGGAACGAAACGCCACACGGATCATACGGGGATATATCCGAGGCCCCGCAGCACCCATGGCAACCAGGTGGGGTGGGAGAGCCAGAGGGAGGCAACAATACCATCCACTGGTAGAAAGGGACACAGGATAGGGGGCACCTGCATGTGTGAGAGAGGGCACACACACACACACTCAAACACGTGCACACACTCACGGCGCAGACCCATGGCCCTGAGCAGCACCAGGCCAAGCAGAGCATCTGCGGGGCAGGGGCAGAGGGGCAGCACCAGGAAATCCTGCCCTTGTGCCTGGGATCATGCCTTCACACTTTCTAGGATTTCAGCCCTTACACAGGGGAGTCAGCAGGCCCTCCCCCTGCTCCTTCCATGGGGTCCCCAGCCACACCACGTCCTTCTCTTTCCCAGTGAAAGAGCACTGTGACCAGGCATTTCACACGGTCTCCATTCTGTGCCCTTAAAGCAGCAACCGTTTCTGTTCCTCATGCATGCAAGAGTTACAGAAGGTGTGCTCTGCCCTCCGAGGGCTCTTGGGCACACGAGGACAGAGGCACAGCAATGCACACAGTCCAGGGCACAGAGCTGTGCCAGGGGAACTCACTCTGGGCTGGGGGGCAGGAGGCCGTCTAGGGAGCCCACTGGAGGTCTCACAAAGGAAAGGGACCATCAAGGGTTATGATGTGCTAAGTGTCCCATTGACTTTGAGAGAATCCACCTGGGTCCCCAGCTCTCCTCCTTTCCCTCTCCACCCTCCAGGCCAGGAGGACTCCTTGCCAGCCCTCAGAACCACCAACAGGTTCTTCCCCTGCTCCTGATGGCTCCACAATCCCAGCCCTAACTCTGTCTACCCAAACCCACTTCCTCCTTCAAGGTCGGACCAAATGCCAGCCCCTCGAGGGGACCTTTTCAGATCCTCCTGACGTCCACTTCTGCCTCTCTGTCTCACGTCCTCATCACTGAATTTTGGGTCTTTTCAGGTTTACCCCACTGAAAACCCTCTGTGCTGACTCTTCCATCCCCTCCTCTACTGACCCCACTATCTACCTGGGAACTTCGAGCCTGCTGCTCAACATACTGCAGGGTCTTTCTTCCACTGACCTAGCATCCTATCATCCTTCGGATCTCCATATCCTACAGTGATCATGATGGCACAATGTCCCTAGGACTGCGACTTATCAATCCATCTATCTATCTCCCTATCTACGGCATACATTTTACATATTCCCTCTTGTGGGCTCACACATTTTATGCCTGCTGCCTCCTGACATTCTGTCTGCAAATCAACGATGTCTTTTCAAGAAATCAGAACACGTTTTGGAAATAAAAAATTTCAGGTCTGAATTACATAAAAAGCGGTCAAGCATGCTTACAACTGGGTACACTTAGTGCAGATGAAGAAAACCAGAACAGAAGGTACTTTGAAGTGTCAGGTTCCATGAACTCATGATCAATACAGGCCCCAAGGAAGCCACTGCAGAGCCCAGCCTTTGGTGACACGATAGAAAATGTGGACATGTTGGCCGTCCTGATAACTGGAGTAGGGATGCTTATTCTGGTTACCGTTGATCACTCTAAGTGCATTTACGGGGAAGCTATGATACTGACTGATGGTTTGGGCTTTTAAAAGTTTCATCTTGAATAATGTAAGATTTTCCCACCCAAAGGCCATGACTTCTCACCCACTGCTCCCCTCTCTCCTCCCGTCCTCTGTCACATGTTACCTCGTTGGCTGCCATCCTCCCAGACCCCCTTCTCTGGCCTCTGACAGGTAAACAAAGGGATTCTGCCTGCACCAATTCTGACGACCTGTGTGCACAGGTCTAAATGGGACAAGTCTTCACGAACGCCACATTTAGCGCCTTCTGGCTTTTCTTCCCAATGATCCATGATTCTTGGCTGCCAGATGGGGCCAAGGCCAGCCCCTGTGAGGACCAGACTAGGCCCGCTGAGCACGCCAGTCCTGCTGGCTGGCCAGGAGACAGCGCTCGCACCTGGACCCAAATGAGCACACGGCTTCCTTCAGGGGGGAAGGCCTCCTAACACACAAGGCAGCTGGGTCGGGGTGCTGAGTTGCTGCTGTGCGGGTGCCCTGATCGTCCAAGTGTCGGGTTCCCTTATTCACGGGCAACAGGCATCTGACTGGCAGCCTTGCCACAGATTCTACTCTGAGGGTCAGAGCCCGTCCTTCCCTTCCTGGATTTAACAGCAACTCCAAAGTTAAGGAGAGGATGCCGGTCATTCCCACCTCCTCTAGAGAGGGGCTGATGCCTCACTGAGACAGCAGGGCACCGTAACACTCAGGCCTCCAGGGTTCAGAGAGCAGCTGAAAATCCCGAGTTCCTCCTCCTCTCCTGTCTGGGCACACAACCAGCCCCTGCTCACTTCTGCACCCTGCACACTGCTCCCCCTCGACCCCTGTTACAGCAGGCTGTTTGCCTGAGGCCAAGGCCACCACCTGCGTACCTACTTTGGACTTTATTCCTAAACAGCTCCTCCCTTGCTTTTCTAGAATTATCAGTACTTACCTTTGGATCATTCCCATTGGCCTACACACTATTCACCAAGTACCCCATTCTGAAAATCACCTTGAACCAATGCAATAGGGGCTTAACACTGGGGGTCCTGGAACGTTTTGGCAATCTTGTCAACCCTCTTCAGAAGATCCCTTACACTCACAAAATTGTGCCCACGTCCTAGAGGACTCCTGGGCGGATGGTACACACCCCTGACCCAGGCAACAGGCACAGTCTGAGCCCATGAAGTCTGGCCCAAAGTCCTGGCTAGGGAGAGGGATATTTGGTCTCAGGTGTTATTTGGCATTAGAATAAATCACCTAGAGTAGATGTGGTCACTGAAGAGCTGTAACAACAGTATCAAATTTTCTTTCCAGGAGGTGGAGGACGTCCTTGAAAAAGATTGCTAAGGCTTTGATAGGAGCCCTTATTCCTGTCAGGGACCCTGGGTCAGGGAATGCCATCCCGGGGGGCTAGTGGCAGAAGATACCAGCCTCCATGGTGTTGCAGCTCTGCATGGACGTATGAGAATGGCACCAAAACACTCTATTCTTCCCCCAAACCCAACTACCCTTTACTTTTCCCAAGCCCAAGTGGCCAGGAGTATAAATTAGACATTTTCGAGGTAGAGCCAAGATCAAAATGCAGACCTGGGAACAAAGTGTGGCTGTTTGGAGAAAAGCCCACAGCCAAGGCAGCTAACCTGGCCTCGGGCACATGCTGAACAAAGACAGGTGACATGAGGAAGCACAAAGAGGGGCCTCAGGAAAATGGAAGTGCTCCTTACTTCCTGCAGGGACCAGTACTTTGGAAAAGGCCCTTCTTTTCAATCTCCCTCCCTGGAGCAAGAGAATTCATCAGAGAATTCCAGTGGCTTCCCCTCAGAGTACTGGAGGGAAAGGCCAGGGAAGTGGCTTATCTCTTACTTAAGTCATGACCTCTCTTCCCTTTACAACCTGAGGATGGCACAGTCACCTCCAAGTCAAAAGTGCAGTCTAGAGCGTGTAAGATCAACACCGATGGTGGGTTTTCCCTTGGGGAGCAGACAATACACTCAACAGCTTGCTTGCTTTTCCCTAATTCTTGGGCTCTTCGGCTCCTTACCACCCTCCACTCTGGCCTAACCAACACTCAGAATACCTCTTCCCACGCAGTGAGCCTGCCTCGCCGGCCAGGGCAGCTCCCAGCTCTGGGTTCCCTACCTCGGCCCTCCCTGCTTGTGGAGGTGGGGTGAGCTGATGTGCGGATCCCGGACTTCTCCCTAAATGTGTGCTCCTGGGAGGCCCCACCTCTCCATTAGCCTCTTGAATACAGAAGTCCCCATGGTTAGGTTTCACAGCTCCTTTTAACCGATCCTCCTGACAGTGCTTCCTCGTCCATCCATCAGGGAGGATTTTGTCCAACTTCACTCTCTGGATTTGTATCCCAGAAGGGCTGCAAGCCCATCTCTCCTAACAGATGCTGACAAGTTTTCCTAGAAGGTGTTCCCCTCACTATGGAGAATGCTGCCCCGAGGGGCCCTGCAACAAATTCCAAACAGAGACAAGGGCTTTCCTGAGACGAGACCCAGGGGCTAGGGTTCCCAACCCTTTGTCCCACGTGTCCATCTCCTGGAAGATTCTTCCTCAGCAGCCTCTACAACTGGGTTCCTCAGCCCTACTGCTCCTCCGAGAGGGAGGAGGGGCCTCACTGACTTCTTGGTGAAAGCCTCCTCACCTGGGTTTGCTTTGTCAACCCAGAAGAGAAAAACAAGGAAAAGTCTGGGAGCATTTTAAGAAGAGCTTTGTTTCCTGGTGAATTGATTCTTTCCTGCTCCTCAACATAAAATCTGTCTCTCCTGGCTTCAGTGAATGCAGACGCCGTGCTCTGCAGGCAAAGAGACGCTCCTATTGCTATTTTATGCTATGGAAATATCTTGCTGGGCAAAACAACAAAGCAGCACAATTTCTAGCGGAAATCACTCATTTTAAAACCCTGATTAATCAGCACTGATTAAAAATTAGCTACTCATTTCCCTCTTGATATCAACCACTCTTATCACATGCCACCAAACCCTCCTCCCAGGTCTGGTCTCAGCAGGTTACTGGGCACAGGGGTGTACGAGCCCCTTGGTGTGCCGGCCGGCTAGCAGGCGCATGTTCGCACGCATGCACACACACACACACACACACGCACGCACGCGTGCGCTCTCTCACACATACATGCCATGGGTGAGTGTGCCTTCTCTTCAGCCCAGAATAAGCTCTCAAAAACTTCAGAGCTTAATAACCAGGCAGGGGAAGACACGGTAAGGGCATCTAGAATGTTCCAGAGATATGTTCCGTGTTGCATCTTCTCAACTCCTTTTGATGTTCTTATTTGGCAACGTTTTTCAACAGTCCAGACAAATATTGTTCAAAGAAGTAAAGGTGACAGGGAAGCAAACCAAAAATCTCAAAGGAAATTAAGATGAATTTGGAAAAGGAGGAAATGCTTATGTATGTAGATATGGACAAGTCACAGTAAATAACATCTGGCCATGCATAAAGTGCCAAATTTGACCCCACTGCAATCACCCCAAGTGATCACTTACAAGTGTCCTTTCTTTTTGGTCCACAAAGATCTGATAAAGATTGCATAGAAATTAATTCAAATTAAAGAAAGGAACAGTTTTGGATTAGAATTCCATGTAAATATGGAGTATGTGAAAACCATCACTTTGTAATCGAAGTCTCAGTAAAATCAGTGTCATCGGATACCTTACACACAGATGAACAAATAACCGGGTCACTGAATTCTGTCACCATTTCATTCTAATGGTTTGGGGCTTTTCTAGCAAAGAAGCTGAGGGTCAAATGTCCCCCCGGCCCTGCTGGGGTCTGCTCCTCTGTCTACGGTTTTAGAACAAGGGGGCATCGTTACTTGACGATGATGGTGGTGGTGGTCAGAGTAACAGTACCGGCACGTCCACAGCATGTTACCACATGCCAGGTACTTCTCTAAGCATGGCACAGATAGTGATTCTTTATCCCTCACAGCTGCCTTGTGACACAGAACCAGCAGTGCCCTCATTTTTCAGGCGAGGAAACTGAAGCGCAGAGCAGTGAAGGAACTCACTCGCGTTAGCAAACGGGGAGAATGGGTTTGGACCCAAAGTCGTGTGTGCACTTTGACACTGTTCCATCAGTCTCTTCAACCACAGACACTGACAACTAGGGGACTGGATTCGCGCCCTCCCTGAAGGCGAGAGGATATGCTGACTAGCCCAACAGAGTTTAACAAACTTCATGTCTTGTTTGGTCTTAAAGTCAAGTGAAATTTTTCTAAGTCAAATAAACGAAAGGTGGCACGGCAGGAGGAGATCTCCAACTGGTAGACCTTTCCATAAAAGGTGAAAAAGAAGCTGTAGACCAAGAACAAATAAAACCAAAGTCTTTCTCCTGGAAACCTAAGAGTAAAATCAAGGCTGAATTCTTTCTAACGGGTTCTGTTTAAAACAGTGTCTCCAGTGCTCAAGCGATGAGGCAAGTTTCCCTGAGAAAGCATGACGTGTTATTCTACAGACTGAAAACCTAGTTTCAAACAATTTCCATTCTGCAAATTCCCAATTCCGTACCCCTCTCTTCTTTTTCTCAGAATTGTTTTTTATGAGGTTTTGTTTTGTAGTTTTGTTTTCCAGTATGTACCCAGATGCCCTAATCAGATTCTAACGTTCTCAGGTGATAACCCAGTTATCGGCCAGAGCAATTCAGCGTAACTCAGTAACACACAATGAACAGGAAGCGTGTGCTTCTCTGGGGTGATTCAACAACAGTCTTCGAAAGGTGGGTCCAGCTACTCACCTTAGGTTTAAATGCAATGACTTTCAAAACCATCTCGACGGTGAACACCCCAGTGAAGACCATGTTCAGAATGTCCATGGCATCATTAAATATCTTGGACTGCTCGTGGTGCTGTGGACGATGACAGAGGCACGGTTCTCAGAAGACCCAGCCCAGCCAGCCTCACGAAAGGAGGCTCCCCAGCCCCCTGGTCCCTGTAGGCATCCACCCTCTGCTTGGACATGGAGGCAACCTTCACTGGTTCTAGCGCACGCGATTAACTCACCGCAAAGCACAGGGGCGCCTTGACAGAATGAGGATGATTGGAAGATGAAGGGGAAATACATCCATTTCCTCTGCTCAGGATGAAGGGAACCCACCCTTCCTCCTGGCTGGGTTTATGTTCAGGGCCTTGACCCAGGCACAAGGCAGAACCCACCCAAATGTCTACGACTAAAGGTAGGATTTGGTTGGAGATCATTTTGATGCCATTATTAGGTCCACGTCCAATAAAAGGCCATATTATCTTGACCTCACACTTCTTCCCTACATTGGCATGTGGTCCTTCTCGTTCATAAAGACTTCTTAAATTTACAAAAACATGCCAGAAAATGTCCCTCTGGTGGCTTTTAGACCCATTTTCTAAACAGCACTGGGAGTTGGTTTGATTTGCTCAAGTTGTGTGGAAACTGGATCTAGACCTTGGCTTCTGTGCTAGGGCATTATCTACTCAACAGTATAAATGCCAGACCTGCTCACTGTTAATACCAACTTGGCCAACTGAAGGGAGTTACATGCCTTGCCCCCAGTATAGCAAGAAGTGGCTATAATGCAGGTCAAGCTCTTCCCCATGAACTGGAAGATTCCCCACTCTCATACTGAGAGCTCCTTGAGGACAGCAATGTGACTTATGTTTTGTTTTTCAACACTGGGTGTTTACTTTGTGACGGGCCCAGTGCCAGTGCCTGATGTGAATTTTCCAGTGCAAACCTTACCTCTGGCATAGATATGATAGATTTCCTATTTTGCCAATGAAGAAAGCAAGGCTCAGAGGATTTAAATAACCTTGCCAAGATTGCCCATCTGGTAAGGAGTAAGGCAGGACTGGAATGCCTGTCTGTCCAACTCCACACAGACCAAGCTTTAGTCCTCAGATGCTCCCTGGCCGCAGGAGGCCCATAGTAAATGTTTACAGAATTGAATGCCAGGTCCAGGCTCCAGGGAAATGTTACCTATGGTCATGCTGTAGAGGTGGTCTCTTAAACAAGAGGGCCATCCTAGATGCCTGCCGTGACAGCTGTTAGCCAGAATGGGACTCTGGCCAAACTACAGCCTAGATTCATCAGAAAATCAAACCCATTCTCTTGTGACGGGGTGGCATTCCCCCCTGAGAATTTGGGGCAGGGGGCTGTGCAGCAGGCCCAGACGTGACCCCCACGGCTGTCTCCATTTTTACCTGCATGGCCAAGCAGAGTGTGTTGAGCATGATGAGGACAAACATCATGTATTCGAAAGGCGAGGAGTTCACCACGTACCAGAACTTGTACTGGTAGGGGTTTTTGGGGATGTATCTCCGCAAGGGACGTGCTTTCAAGGCGTATTCGACACACTGACGCTGCAACGGCAAAAAAAAGAGCAAGGAGGGGTCCTGAGCACACCCATGGGAGGCGGACATACTTCTGCCCGCTTTGAAAGGACGGACAGGCACCCGCCGCGGGGGACTGTGGACCAGGGGGAAACCACGATAGCCACTCCCACGGATGCCTTGGTCACTGGCCAAGGGCCTCTAGCTCCATCACTTTATCAACCCCTCACAGCGACCTGGGGGGTGGGTTAGCAGAGGACCGAGTCTGCTTCCATTTTCCTCATTCAGATGGAAGTCCAGAGCTGTGAAATGCCTTGCTGGAGATTCTGTGGTGCACAAGCAGAGGAGCAGGGCCTAACCCAGGCCTCATCCCTACCTTTCCTCTCTGCTGGTGCATTAAGTCTGCGGTTCTGGCACCTCTAGGAAAGGAAGCCAGGTAACAAGAGGCACAGAAATCCTGCGGAGCCAGAGAGGCTGGACCAACTCCCCAAGACAGGATCCACATGAGACACCTCTTGGGAGCCAGACCGTATTAACCACACGTGTCTAATGGTGTGTGCCTGCCTGGGACCTTCTGACACTCGGGAGCTTGTCATATTCATCTCAGAGCCCCCAGGACATGGTCAGCAATGATGGCCAGAGCACTGTCCTTCTCACTCTGGGGCTGAGACTGGTCCACCCTTTGCAGCCCAGAGGGATCTCCAGCCCCGTAGGCTCAGTGTAAGGCCCCACTTGCTCTTAGACCCAGACCAACTCCATTCTCCTGCTTAGACCCTGGGTTCTGACTTCAGATAGGCTCCCTCTGTCCAGAATCTGGCCCTGCTGTGACCCCTCACACTGACTCCAGGGACCCCCAATTCGAACCTCTTCTGGACCTCAAGTGCTGACACGATTGTAGCTCTGGTCCTGCCACCCCAGCCAGCCTGGGCCTCGCCCTGACATTCTCCTTCCAGGGGCTGGGAGGTGGGAGGAGTGGGGGATGATGAGGAGCAGGACCAGGCTTCCTTCTGATCACCCCTTATGGGATCTGAAGGGACGCCCTGACAACTCAAAGCAACATCTTCCTACAAACCAAGCCGTCCCTGTCCTCTTTGCCCCAGAGGGCACAGCTGCGGCCAGAGACAGCCAGCCTTACCACAGCCACTTCCCTCAGGAAGCCAGGCTGGCAGATGATCCCTGCTCCTATGTCATCATCAAATGGGGGTGCTAGCAAACCAGGGCCCAGGGGAAACTCCCAGAGCAGAATCTCCACCTCACCATCTTCTAGCGCTGGAAGGGACCTCTAAAAGCAACTCCTGGGTGCCCTCAATCTACAGCAAGCCCAGAGAGGAGCAGGTCTCCTGGCTCTCTCACATCATCACTCAATCAGAGCCAAAGTCCCCTGCTGCTATCAGATTTGTTCAAACAAGGCAGTGGATAACGGGAGAATGACACCAGCGCAATATTAGACCCAGGTTTAAAGTTAGTGACTTTTCCTGCAGTGTGATAGGTTACTTCCTCCTAAGTCAACCTGGTTGACTCTGGTTCTCAACCCTGGTTCTCAACCAGGGGACATCTGGCAATGTCTGGAGAGGTCTTCTGGTTGTCAAAACTCAGGGCAGCGGGTTGCTACTGGAATCGAGTGGGTATAGTCCAGGGATTCTGTTAAACATCCTACAAAGCACACAATGCTCAACTGAAAATTATCTAGCCCAAAATATCAATAGTGCCGAGGTTGAGGAGATAAGACACAATCCACGCCCCACCTCCCCCCATAAGGACTGTGGGAGGAGCAGTGGGTGCTTTCCGGCCCCTGGCCACATCCCCCACCAAGATTGTGGGCCATCACTCGTGGGTCATGCCTGCAGAAGGTGGCCTAAGCATTCTTTGACTTCTCCATAGGGTGGGGTTGATCTCACAATTACAAGGTCTGATCTGTATCTGAGAAGCGCGCTCTCCCCAGCAAGGACTCAAATTGGCTGTGAGGGTGCTGTGAACAGGGCCCGAGTCCCCGGGACAACCAGCGGATGCACGCCTTCTGTGTGCACGGAAGAAGCTGGCAACACACAAGCCACTCCTCTCTTGCTCAAGGGACAGAAGCCCAAACAGTGTGTGACTTTAACCTGATTTTTGTCCAGCTCACAGTTCTTATACTCTTTCTCTCCCTGCTCCTGAAATGTGACGATGACGAAGCCCACAAAGATGTTCATCATGAAGAAAGCCACAATGATGATGTAGATGATGAAGAAGATGGAGATCTCCACGCGGTAGTTGTAGATGGGGCCAACATTCTCTCCGTTGGAGTCGATGGCTTTGTACAGCAACCTGGAGAACAGAAGGACTGGGTGAGCCCCTCCGCCTGCCCAGACGTGCACCTCTTCTGACGGCCTCTGTGGGCCCGCCCCCTGCCTGTCAGCCCCCTCCCTCGGAGCCCACCCATAGCCCCTGGACACACAGGTCCCCGAGGCACCCTCCTTGGCATTAGGCCCAGCCGGCCCAGCGCCCAGAGGAGGGGACACCTGAGATACATTTGTTGACTGATGTTTTGAGGACATGAGAAAAGATTTCATGGATATTCAACAATGCTCCTTTTTACTGACAGATGGGAGAGAGGAAGGACACCACGTGGAAGACACTGGCAGAACTGAAAACTGTACACACGCCAACAAGGACAACAAGCGAGCAACCCGGGATTTCCAAAGAACTGAGAAGTTCCCCAAACTGAAATATACACAGAAATTAAATATATGCTAAGCAGAACTCTCAGTAGGAAGAAAGGAAATTACCGTAAGATCCCCAAGTTAAAATTACCCCCACTCTGATGCAGAGTCAGCACTGCCAGGGCGCCCACCCCACGCTGGGCTGTGCTACACACTTTCACAGCCATCTGCAAAGGCAGACATTACAGTCATCCCCATCGTACGGAAGCTCACAGAGTGATCTAGGTGACCGAAGTCATACTCCTTGGGGGCAAAGCCAGGAGATGAGCCCAGCTCCTCTGAGCCCCAGGTCCCAAATCTGCCTCACTTTCCCTCACCTGCCATCCTGATTTGCTAAAACACACTGCTGAAAACCCAAGAGTGCAGCCAGTGCCTCCACAGAGTAAAGGGGCTCACTCCTGCCTCTTTTCTCCCCAGGACCAGTTCCCTAATGAACAAACCCCACCCAACTGCCCTCTTCCTCCACAGGCTCTCCCATAAAACTTCTGACTCTCCCATGCATCCAGAGAGTTCTGCCAGCCTGACAGAGTGAATTTGTCCACCTTCTGCAGTTTCTCTGGGCGTGAGAACTTGACATTTGGGACTCTGCGTATGTACATACATCTAGGTGGCAGGAGCTGGGGCTGGGGTGGGTATCAGAGCACAGGGAACAAAGGTGTAAGAGACTTCCCTTTTGTATTCTACCTTCTTCCCTGCTTCTGGACTTTTTTTTTTTTTTAACTTTACTCATCAAAATCCTAGCCATCCTTCAGAACCTTATTCTGCACATCTCTGACACGGCAGAAGCTCCTGCCTGGTTTGACTGCCTGATACTCTGACTAGCTTTGGGCCTTGAAGAGAGGAACATGTTGAGACCACTGTTTCTCCCACAGGGCTTAACACAGCACGCTGCACGGAGCTGGTACCAAAAGCACATTTTATGAATGAGCGAGTGAGCGGGTCAGTGAAAGACATGGCATTTTGCCAGCCACCCGTGTCTGGCGCACATTAGAACTGGGAACGAATGACTGAACGACTGAATGGATGGCTTGGGACATTATCAAGGTGTTCTCTATACTTACGCAGGCCAGCCCTCAAACGTGGAGACCGTGAACAGCGCCATCATAGCAGAAAGGACGTTGTCAAAGTTGAAATCACTATTTTGCCAGATCCTCTCACGGACCACAGGGTTATCAACGTCCCCATCCTTGTAGAGGATGAAAAGCCCCCTAAGGAGGAAAAGAAGTGTGGGTCATCCTGGCTTGACCTGAGATCAGTCACAGCTGCTCCAAGGCCACGTCCAGGCACCATTGTGCTGTCTGCCAGCCAGGCCTCACCTCTGAGCCGAGCACAGCCTGAGTTTTTCTTCTTCTTGTCCTGTGTTTACTCTAGTCTACAGTTCCAATAATCACTGAGGACCTACTAGTTTAATGAGTATTCTCTAGAGCAACTAGGCAGATATCCAGCATATGCCTGATAACAAATGATAACTACCAAACAGTAAACGCCTCTCATATACGATGGGCTCAACGCATACACTGAAGACTCAGAGGCTTTGGCCTGGAGAATTCTGCAAGCTCTGGGACGCAAGCCTGGGTACACCCTCCTCTCGGCCTTTTGGCTGTAATCACACTCTTTCTCTTTGTATTAACGATATTCCCAGTTTTCTCTCTAAAATAATTCTATAATTTCTGATACACAATATTTGTCATCGAATTTCATTTCTGGAAAGGGGCCAATGTCTTTATTCCACAGATGGGGAAGCAGAGGCTTAGTGAGAGAAGAGAAGGGGTCTTCACCCTGCTGCCTTGCCGCATAAACTCCAGGGGGCGCCCCCCCCCCCGGGCACCCCCCCACCCCTGCAGCCTGCATGGATGATGCCCCCGGAGGTGCACAATCAGTCACACTGAGGCTGATATACTCTGACCGCACCTTCTGCTGAAAAGAAACCCCAAATGGAATGTAAGCAGTACAAGCAAGTCCTCAGTCGGTGCCGTCCCAAAGGGATGGGGACACACAGAACTTTACGCGGTCTTACAACCTGAGGCAATGGTTTCATGTCTGCCTTCATATTCTTCCGGACATGTTGGGATAAGAGGCATGAGTATTTCTCACTTTGTCTCTCCTCTGCCTGTTCTTGTGAATAAAAATATGCCCCGAATGTGGGTGCCAAGAGCACGGGGAGAAAGGCAGCCTGGAAAACGTGTCGGTAGAGGCTAGCCAGCTTCTGAATGCCAGGGAGTTGAGCTTCGAGTTCCAGTTTGGGGGTGGGGGGGATTTATCCATGTGGCTGGAAGGTGGGGGGGGGCTCTCTGGGGAATTTTGGAATTGTTATTTTAGGTTTCAGTGCATTCCCTCCTCCCAATTTTAGAGATTCTATACCAAACATCAAAAGCCATCTATCCATTCTTTTGGGGGTGATAAAGGTTTGGAACTAGAACGAGTAGGCCATGCTTGTCCCACAGTGTGACTACTAAATGTCACTGAATTGCACAGTTTAAAATGATTACTTTTATGATATGTGAATGTCACCTCAAAACTACCACCACCACCCCCCACCCACCCTCTCTCCAGCCGTGAGCTGAGCATACAAGCCTCTAACAATCCATGATGAAAACTTCTGAAAAGTGAGCACAAGCAGACCCTCCAAGTTTCTTATTTGTGCTTCCTTGTTCCCCACTCTCATGTTCAGGACACTCACCTGCACTCTTCGGGGTTACTTTTGGCTTCATCCGTGCAGCGATAGAACTTCCCCTGCGTACAGAAGAGACAGGCAGTCAAATGCAGGCTCCCCACAAAGAGATCAGCTGGGCTTCAGGCCAGAAGGCACATCCGTGTACCTTGAACAACTGGACCCCGATGCAGGCGAACATGAACTGGAGAAGGGTGGTGACGATCATGATGTTGCCGATGGTCCGGATGGCCACGAAGACACACTGGACCACGTGCTGGGGAGAGAGGAACCCGGGGAAGGCAGAGGGATGTCATCTGCTTTTGTTGTTTCAGCCACAGGGCGAGCTAATACCGGCCAGGATTTTCTATGTTTATGTGCATTTTTTTTTTCAACGTTTATTTATTTTTGGGACAGAGAGAGACAGAGCATGAACGGGCGAGGGGCAGAGAGAGAGAGGGAGACACAGAATCGGAAACAGGCTCCAGGCTCTGAGCCATCAGCCCAGAGCCCGACGCGGGGCTTGAACTCACAGACCGCGAGATCGTGACCTGGCTGAAGTCGGACGCTTAACCGACTGCGCCACCCAGGCGCCCCTGTTTATGTGCATTTTTATATGATTTTCCAACTTTGTGCCTCCCTTGCGCTTGTTTTTCAGGTAGTTATCTGTGGGGAGTTACCCCCGTTGCAGTGGGGCCACCTGGGAGGACCACCCTACAGATCAGTCCCTCCCTGGTTTCCTCCAAAGTGGTTTAGTCAGAAGAAACACTACCAGGTGCGGCACTGCCTGGCACACAGGTCCACAGGGACCCCTGCCCCCCATAAAAGGACTCAGGAAAATGCAAAACCTCTGGCCTTTTATACGACCTGCATGAGGATAGATTTAAAGACCAAAATAAACCCAAGAACACATTATTTGTTTAATTTAATTTTTTCGGTTTATTTCTTTTAGCAATCTGTACCCCAACATGGCACTCAAGCGCACGACCCTGAGATCAAGCATTGCGTGCTCCTCTGATTGAGCCAGCCAGGCACCCCAACCCAAGAAAATACTAATAATTTTTAAAAAGTAATAGAACAGTAATCTCATAAAGAAAAATAAATTAGCAAAGAGAAAGAAAATATTTGTAAAATGCTTTCAGCACTTGTCAGAGGTAGTGTCACTGGTTAGAAATGGCCTTTCCAGGGGCGCCTGGGTGGCTCAGTCGGTTAAGCGACCACCTTTGGCTCAGGTCATGAGCTTGTGTTCCAGCTCCAACTCCAGCTTGTGTTCTTGTGTTCCAGCTCCACATCGGGCCGTCTGTGGTCAGCATCAGATCCTCTGTCCCCTTCTCTCTCTCTGCCCCCCCCCCCCCCGGGGGGGGGCGCGCGCGTGCGCGGGCCGCCAAAAAAAAAACAATAAAAAAAAAATAATAAAATGTTCAGGAAAAAAAAAAAGAAAAAGAAAAAGAAACGTCCTTTCCAAATGTACAGCCGAGTAAAACCCATCAAGCCTCAGCCCAGCTCTGGCCCCAACCAAAGCAGCCTGGGCCGGAGGGCAGAATCCAAACCTTGAGTCCTTTCGCTCTGTTGATCGCCCTGAGCGGCCTCAGGACCCTTAAGACCCTCAGAATCTTCACAACGGAGATGGCACTGGATCTAAGGAAGGAAAAGAGCAAAGAAGGAAGGCAGAGTGTATTACAGTCAGATAAAATACTTTGGAATTATTTCACGCGGCCTTCACTGTAGGACCATGGCCCGTGTGGGGCTGAGCTCACCCCCCCCCGGGCCCCCCCCCCCCCCGCGCGCGCGCGCGCGCGCGCGCGCTCTCTCTCTCTCTCTCTCTCTCTCTCACACACACACACACACACACACACACACACACACACACACACGCCCACACACATCCAGCCCACATTCACGGCCCCTCCTGGGCCAGGCCCATGGGACTCGCAGAGGCCCTGACTGGGGCGCGGAGCTAAGGCAGCAGAGGCACAATTTAGCACTTTCCTTTGTCCTTTTTGCTCAATGTAAATGCTAGGCAGTCCTTGGCTTTCAGGCTGCAGGTTTGTTTGTTCGGGTTTGCTCTCGGAGGTGGGAGAGCTGCTGTGGTGCCCTGTGCGGGGCTTCTCTGGCCTCTGCGGAGTTTGCTGTTAGGTGGGACGCAATCACCACCTGTGTGGTGGGGCTGACAACGGAGGGGATGCAGGACAGGCTGCCAGGAGAGCACATCCTCCGGGAGCTGGGGACACGGTAGCCATGTGAGTCCAGGGGTCAGCTGGACAAAGGCGGGGGTGCTCCAGGGCAGACGGGAGAACACGGCTCACGCAGCCCCTCAGGCGGCTGGAGCACATGCTCGGGAGGCAGAGGGCAGACACAGCCTGGCATTTATGGGGCCTGCAAAGATGCTGTGAGAACACCCTCTCTCTAGCTGCGACTGCTGCCTCCCTCCCCCTGGGCAGTGGTGGGAGGTGAGGACCAGCACAGAGGGCCATCTCAGGCAGGGGTCGTCGGTCTTCTGAGGGGGATGCAGCCTCCCCATTTAACTTGAGCTCGGAGGTAGTAGGTGAGCACGTTTCCTCATAGGGGGTACTGATGGCCAGCACCTGAGCACAGGTACTTGTAAGTCAGCAGGAAAGCAAGGCCACGGGGGACATTCCTACGGGAACTTCTGCCCCAGACCCCCGAGGTACAGCAGGCAGGCAGCTTGCAACTGGGGCTATTCCCCACCAGACATTGGTAAAGGCCATGGAAAGGCCCTGGGGCCCTGAGTGGTAGCCTCGGCCCCCTTCTAGCTGAAACTTGTAGAAGACAAAAGAAAGGGGTCATGGCAGCTGCTATATCCTGGAGATCAAGGGAGGAAGCCTTCAATATCCAATCTGAAAGTTCCCCCAGAGGCCCCCTCTTGTATGAGAACTGTAGTCCTTTGAGAGAAGGACTACATGATGCCCGGGAGGAAGCTGAACTAGAACCGGGCTTCCCTCTCTCCCAGTTCAGACTTCTCTGTTGAAAGCAAATATCACAGACAGTAATATGCCCAACCTGGCAGGGGGCATGGAGAGAAGGAGAAACACAAGAAACACGAACAGTGCCAATGCCCTCTGGCATGCACACAAATCGGGCTTTCCGGGGTAACTGAATGCACTTGTTAAAGTGATGCCTAGCCTTTATGAATTATGTTAAAATCCCTCACAGAAACCATCCTGCCCAAGAGTCCTGTGCTCACACACTCACGCCCACCCCAGAATACTTACTGGATCCCGAATGATACCAGGGATACCCCGACAACCAGCATATCCAGTAGATTGAAGTAGTTCCTGCAGAAAGCCCCTTTGTGGAGGAAAGCTCCAAAAGTCGCCATCTATAAACAGAATCATGAGTGATTTACTGTGTTTTTTTTTCTTTCTCTCCAGAAGAAAAGAAACCTGGGCTCTTTACAAAACCTCCAGGAAAGTACTTTATTAACAAGCATGCATTAGGAAGCCAGACATATAAACCAGCAGGGCTGAGCAACCAGATATTGGTTCAATAATGGAAATGGGGCAGCAGATTTCAGACACATTTCAGAGGAGACCAGTCTAGACTTCATATCAGTGATGGTAAACTGCAAGTAGGAATCCAACGTGGGCAGGTCCAAAGAGCCTGTCCCAGGTGTGTCCACATGGCCCTGCTCATCAAGTAACTTGGCTGCCCCACAAAATGCCGGCTCTGGACCCTGAGGCCCCAGGAGAGCCTACATCACTGACCCCAGCGTGCCTTCACAGTGCGGCTAGCAAAAGTGCTGGAGCCCAAAGCTCATAGGCTCTGTTCACAGAGACTCACACTGTTTAGGCCCCTGCCTGCTGCTAATGGTCCTCCAGCAAGACATCCAGTTTACACGGTGCTTCTGGGGCACCTGGGGCGGGGGGAGCTCAGTCGATTAAGCATTTGACTTTAGCTCAGGTCACGATCTCAGGGTTCGTGGGTTCGAGCCCTGTGTCGGGCTCTATGCTGACGGATCAGAGCCTGGAGCCTGCTTCGGATTCTGTGTCTCCCTCTCTCTCTGTCCCTTCCCCGCTCACGCTCTTTGTCTCTCAAAAATAATGTTTAAAAAAAAAAATGGTGCTTCCAAGCCCAGTGACTCCAGCACATGCAAGGTGTGGCCAGGAAGCTGTCATAGGCCTCTCCCCAGGGCAGTTGCCCTGCTTTGCAGTCAATGTCATGTGCACCCAGAGCACCACCTCAGGTGCCCCAGAAAGGTGCCTACTGGTGATGCACAAAGGAGTTTAGTGAGGACATTCCCAGAGCAAAAACAGCAAAGTACACAGGGTTCATTGTGTGCTAAAAAAAAAAAAAAAGGAGGGGGGAGGGCGTCTGGGTGGCTCAGTCAGTTGGGCACCCAACTTCGGCTCAGGCGATGATCTTGCTGTTGCCGAGTTCGAGCTCCGTGTCGGGCTCGTGCTGACAGCTCAGAGCCTGGAGCCTGCTTCGGATTCTGTGTCTCCCTCTCTCTCTTCTTCCCCTCCCCCACTCACACTCTATCTCTCTCTCTCTCTCTCTCTCAAAAATAAACATTAAAAAAAAAAAAAGATGAAGGAGGCTCAGGGGAGTATAGAACAGGAGGGCCAGAGTCATGAAACAGTTACACTGAACCATATAAAATCGCCAACACACCACCATTCTTGACCTACACAAATGGCAGTTTGCTGTGGTTCAACCGAATAGCCATATAGCCTTGCCAGTGTTCCCACAGCCAGCAGGAACCACCGCTTCAGATGCTAGATGCTTCTTGGCGAGCCTCCATTGTCTGAATCCTTCCGGCTTGTTTCCCACCCTCACACAGGTTTTAAATGAAGAAAACTCAGAATACTTAAGTCACTGAGGCAAATATGCAGAAATTTAAAAGCAACAATGGTTTTTTTGTTTCTTTTAAATAACCCAAATCTCATTGGCCCCAAAGCCCACGAATGATGATAATCATTTAACAACCTAGACCTGTGGGAAGTAGAATAAAACCTCGATGAGCTGAGCTAACAGATTAAGTGGATCATGTTCCCCATTCAGTTTGAAGAGAAGGCGGCAAATTATAAGGAAAAAAAAAAAGACAGCTCAGGATGAAGTAGAGGCAGGGTGAGTATGCTTGACCCCACCCCCTGTGCATTATGTGCGTACTCCTTATGACAGAGGCCCTGTTAGATTCAGCTAACCCCCGCACCCACTTAGGAGACAACTGTCAGCCACATTCACCGGCTTAAAGGCAGGAAAGTGAATGTGAATTTTTAGATTTTTTAACAAAGGTTTAAACAGAGGCTGGCTGGTTTTGTGCTAATGTTTTTATTAGTTGAAAATAAAAGGAACTCTAAGTACCCCATTCCCTGGCAAAGCTCATCGAGGTTTCATTTCATAAAATATTTTGTAAAGAGCCCAAGTTCTACAGTAGTCGAACATGAAATACATTTCTTTTTCCTGAGATGCACACGTAAAAACCCAAAATTGGTTTAAAGGAAATTGTGGTGAAAATTCCTCATCTTGTCTCCCCATTGGGACACAGTTGCTCTGACAGTTGTCACGGGCCACACTGTCCCGGTCCTGCAGTGACCCATGCCACTTAGCACATCAGGGGTGTTCCTGGCTCTCTGCTGCGGGTCTCCAGACCTCTGCACGCGCGGGGAATGAGCCGGGCCCGGGTGGCCTCCGCAATCTGTACACAAACCATGCAGCAATGGCAACTGTGAGCTCATGCATGGGCAGTACATTTAGGGCGCCCTGTCCAAAGGGTGCTCCTTTTGTTTGTGTAAATGTAAGCCCATCCATTAAAGCGTATCAAATATCTTAACACAAATAGGTTATCTTGCAAATCCCATTGCAAGAAAATAGTGTGTTACTATTTTAGGCCACTGAAAACCATTCCGTCAAAGAAATGAAAGGAGATACATTCCCTTCATAGGATAAATGCTTTTCCTCTGACTTTGAGGTCAGGAAAGGTGGAAGAAGGTTCACACATAGTGATGTGTCTGTTGTCAGATGACACATTTCAGAGGATATATCTTAAAAGGAGCAAAATAATTTCCAGTCATTATTATGAAGCCAAAGAAGTTCCTACATGCATTTAAAGGTTAAAAAGAAACAGCAAAAACATGTCGAATGGTTACAGGAACAAAAAAAATCCTTTGGTTTACAAAAAAAAAAAGTGTAGCTTGATCACAGAAGGCAAAAAATAAAAAAAATAGTCAAAAGCACTTCACGCTTCTTTGCCGTGTGTCACACAGGAGCAGGCCCCTTCGACACACTGCTGTGGGACCTGTTACCTTCAAAACGATCTCAAATGCAAAAGTACCAGTGAAGACATAATCTGCGTAACCTAGCATCTGGAAAGTAAACAAAGAATTGCAACTATTATTGCTACAGCTGCTTTAGAGTACGTGAGGATCAATGAAAAAGCCGTTACCTTTAACAGGATTTCAACTGTAAAGATGGCTGTGAAAGCATAGTCAAAGTAACCCAGTATCTGCAAGGTACAACATGTTGGAAATGAGAAAAAGGCATCCGGATGAACTCCAACAGCGTGCGCGCCCATGGGCAGAACCCCCACCTGCAGTCAGACGCCCGCTCCCCCGAGATAAGCCTGCCGCTCTGGAGGCAGGTGCAGAGACGCTTATAAATGCCCCACCCGGCCCAGTGACAGCTCTTCTTTGTGACCGAGAAAGAGCATCTGGGGACACTTACCTCCTTTCACCACTCATGCGGACTCTCCTCCCTGTCTCGTGTCATGGACAGACAGAAGCTCATTTCTAAAAGCGCTTTGTTAATAACCTCTGCTCATCAGAGCACAACATGGACAAACTTGTGACACCAGATAAACCGGAGCCTTATACACGTTTCAGATTTTTAAAGGGAATTCTTAGAAGAATGAAATATGGTGTCATATTTCAGCATATAGCTGAGCTTCAGTTTGGTGGAAAAATGTAAATAAAGATGTTAAGTGGCATCCAAAAGGGCCAGAAGTTTCCACATGCCCCTTCTGATTCCAGCCCGTGAAAACAGGGTGGAAATGCCCCTCCGTCACCTGTGTGCAGGGCTGAATAAGTCCTCAGAGAAGAGTTCTACTTATGGTCCTGCTCTGCATCTAACACTGCTCTCTCCAAACACTGGGTTTTTGTTTTTTACCTAGCTGGGCCCACTCAAAGAACAGACTGACCTGGCCTTTGAATAATCGGTCCAGGCTGCTTTTATCAGTATTCCTGAAAATATCATCTACCCTCCAAATGAGTCCTGCTCAGGGAACCCTTTGGGGGTCCCTGCTGCTTCTCAGAGCCATGGGGGCTGGTAGGTGGGTGGCGCAGGGGGGCCAGCAACCAAGAGTCTGACCGCTCAATGGAGGTTGCTCATGGGGAACCCTCAGCCACAAAGACGGCAGCCAAGACTCTGCCAGTTGCAGAGGCCAAGATCAGAGCTGAAGGGACCGTGGAGAGACCCCCAGACCAACTCTCTTCATCTAACAGAAGAGGATACTGTGGGAGTGTCAGCGGGCAGGCTGCTCAGGTCGCACAGCCAGTCATGGTGTGGCTGGGCAGGGAGTGAGCCCCGGGCCCTGTTACTTGAGTGTGGGATCCAGCCCACGGGAGTCCTTTACTCTCCATCACAGTAAGGAGACGGACCTACAGCAAAGGCCAGCTCTTCTCCACGGAAGTTCTCCAGAGGGCATTCATTATTCAAACCACTTCCATTCTGAGATTTACAGATTTTGCTGGAAGCCTGTTGTGTATTTGTGATTCTAGCCAGGCAACGAAAGGTATTTCCAGTACACGGCCAGCCTCTGCCCCTTCCCCCATCCGAGGTCACGGCAGGACTGTTCATGTCAAAAGCACGTGTGTAGCCAAGACAGACACCGCTGCCCACACGTCAGCAACTCGACCCAGTGCCAGAGGTCAAAGCTCTTAGATTCAGGTTATTCTTTCTCCATTCACTCCTCTTCCACTAATAACTTAGCTAAGTTGACACAACAACCACGGAAAAGCCACCACATGAGTCCACTTACATGGGGTATCTAAAGTAGTCAACCCCTTAGACAGAAGGTAGAATGGAGGTTGTCAGGGGCTGGGGGAGGGAGAAATGGGGAGATGGCCAACGGAGATAGAGTTTCAGTCATGCAAGATGAGTAAGTTCTGGAGACCTGCCGTACAACATAGTCCCTACCGTTAAGAAGGCCGTCTCGTACACTGAATTTATCAAGAGAGTAGATCTCACATTAAGCATTCTTACCACAATGAAATAAACACTGTAGTGTTTTAAAAGCAATACACATACAAATATGTACATCTGTTTAAAAACAATAATAACATTCTTGGAAAAAGCAGCAGGGACATAAACTCATGGGGAAGCAATCACAATAAAAATAAGAACACGGGGCCACGTGTAAATTAACTCTGCCAATCTGTGTTCTAGACTAGCTCCTGACCTCGTCTCTCAATAACAGTATTTTTTTCCCAAACAGCTTCTACCCGCTGTGCCTCATTTCTATGATGGGGCCTGAGGACACTGAGGTCTTTGTTCCATTTGAACGCTTATGTAGAGACAGTGTCAGAATCTCTAACAAGAGCCCTGATCTGTGAGTGCAGATTCAGACAGATGCACAGCCTTCGTCTTTACATCAACACCAACATGTGCCTTGGGAGGAAAGTCTTTTTAAAATCTGCATATCAGAGCGCCCGTGTTTTATCAGCCTGATACATTGGGCCTGCCAGGCTTCAAACCAACGGGACTGGAAACGAAAAGATACAGCACAAGGCCTGACTGTCACAACCAAAATCCTGGGGTACTGGTAATTTGCCTTACTCCTCAAATTTCTAAAAATCGGATGGACACAGAGAGCACGAACCACAAGGGGCAGCAATGCTGGACGGCTTCACACACTCGTGGGCCTCCCTCTCCTGGGCTTCTTGACAACCACCTGAGACTGCGCTACAGTCTCCAGGCCAGAGCAGACAACAGTCTACTGGTGTTCTGAAGCTGTGTCGCCTCGGGATTGTTCTCGGTGCCGAATGAGCTGACTGCTAAGAGGGGACCCACCTGGACAAGAACTTCCTGAGGTACTGGTCTCTGCGCAGCACAGATGTGCTCTCCCTAAAGCACGAAACAGACCGATAACAGACAACTTGGCTGTCTCTTTGTTTTCTTTGTAAAACCACCTCCTGCCCTATCAAAACGCCAGCCTTCCTCTCCACTGAACCACTTGGCTCCACACGCCGTCGGCTCCCTCACTTGTATCCCCCCCACTCCACCCAACCCCTCCGCTGAGTAGCGAAACCAAGTAGCTTCGTGAATTTCAGCCCAGGCGGGCTCCACACCTTCCCGCCAGCCCTAAGGAAGAGCTTCTGGGCACATGACGTACCTGGCTCCATTTTTACTTTTCCTTCCTGCTGGATGCTTCCACCTGGGCAGAAATCTCAAAACAGGCACGGATGTGAATGTGACCAGGGAGGGGAAAACAGGGACCAAAATGTTGGCAGTAAAGGACGAACAGGAGGAGAAGCAGGGCTCCTGAATATGCTATAAGTTGCTGCAGAGTGTTTAAGATGAAGTTTAGAGGACAGGATTCAAAAAAGGTCTGTCCTGATAAGACAAAACTCTTCTGGCACTCACAAACCTGAAATACCTCTGGGGGAACGAGAGGCCTCCTCTAACGTTTAGCCCTGCCTGCGTGACAGTCCCTGCTAGAGAGACGGGTGCTGATCCCAGAGGGAGACCCGCCCGCCTGGCCCTGCTCAGTGGCTTACAGTGTTCCGGAAGGAGTGGCTGCGGATGGGGTCCTCGGCGGCAAGGGCGGCGCTACTCAGCATGATGAAGACGAGGATGAGGTTGGTGAAGATGTGATGGTTGATGAGCTTGTGGCAGCCCACGCGGATCCTGTGGGGGAAACCACTGCATGGACACAGCCCTTGGCACGGCCAGTGCCTCCTGCATGCTGGTGCTGCTCTGAGGTGACAAGTCGGGCAGAGGACAGCTGTCCGTGCCCCAACCCGGCCAACCAGAGCCACCTGACCCTCAGCCCTTCAAAAGTCGTGGAAGGCAGACCCTGAGGACCCACAGTGCCACAGCTCTGTGGGGGGAGGAGGGGCTCCATACACAGCATTCATCACGTCCTTAAAAGTGGGGATTATCATCCTGCTACAAGTGGGGAAACTGAGGCTTAAGCATGTGAGAGGTCTTAAGGCTAGTAAAGACTGAGGGAGATTTCCAATCCAGGTGGACTGTGACGCTTTCCCACCATGACATGAAGCCCAGTGGCTTCCTTTGCCTATCTTTGGAAGGAATCTGAGCTCAGAGCTCACTGCCGCAGCTCACAAGAATGAGAGCAATGGGTAAAGGGGGTCCAGAGGTACAGACTTCCAGTTATAAAAGAAACAAGTCACAGGGATGAAAAGTACAGCATAGGGAATATCATCAATACTATTGCAATGACGTTGTATGGCGACCACGCTTTTCGGCGCGAATGCTGTGTAACATACAGACCGGTCAGATTGCTATGTTGTGTGCCTGAAACCAATATGATGCTGTACGTCAACTGTACTTCAGTTAAAAATAAAAATTAAGGGGCCCTTGGGTGGCTCAGTCAGTTGAGCATCCGACTCTTGGTTTCAGCTCAAGTCATAAGTTCAAGCCCCACGTCGGGCTCTATGCTGTCCATGTGGAGCCTGCTTGGAATTCTCTCTCTCCCTCTCTCCCTCTGCCCCTTCCCACTCTCTCTCTCTCTTTCAAAATAAATAAGCTTAAAAATGAAAAAATAAATACAAATTAAAAAGGAAGGAGAGCAACCCCTTTCTAATGCTGTCACCTGGCTGTATGAAAATGACTACAGTAGTCATGGGTTTGGTAAAATCTCCTGTTATGTGGAGATTCTGTCCTAAGTGGTTTTTGTTTTTAAACTCTGGAGTTGACCCACAAGCACTCCCAAGAAAGTGAAGAGAAAGCTGCACCGTGCAAGAATCGTGCGGGGATCTTACATACCATGTCATGGTCCTCAGCGTCCTGCCGTTGTCTGATGTCCCACAGGCTAGTTAGCACCAGACTCAACACCTGACTTTAGAATTTAACCTCAACACCTGACTTTAGAATTTAAAAGACTTTATTTTTGGCCTATAGAATACATATATCTTCCCCTTGAAATTATTTTCCTTTGTAATTTTTTTAATATTTACTTTTGAGAGAGAAACAGAGTGTGAGCAGGGGTGGGGCAGAGAGAAGGGAGACACAGAATCGGAAGCAGGCTCCAGGCTCTGAACTGTCAGCACAGAGTCCAACGTGGGGCTTGAACTCACGAGCCGTGAGATCATGACCTGAACCAAAGTCGGATACTTAACTGACTGAGCCACTCAGGTGCCCTGTCCTTTTTCACTTTCAAAACTGGAGTCAACTTTATGAGAAACTGACCCCTTTCTTCAAATCCTCCCTTGTGGGGCTGCTTCATGCTGGGATGTGCCCTTGGAGGGCTTGCAAGCTGTTAGCAGGTGAGTCTGGGGAGAACCTTCCAAGGCAGGGAGGGCAGGAGTGTTCACAGCTCTGGGGAGGGAAATCAATCCATTCCTTCAATATATGTAGACCCAGTGAGCTGTAGGCATCAGTAACGTCAGGTGAGTACCTTTTTTTAAAAAGAGACACCCAAATTCTCTACAGTGACACACTGTAAAAACTACCATCAGATCCTCAAGTCACTAAGGACAGCAGCCTCTCTTCCCACCTGTGTCTCCCTGGGGACTCTGAATTCCATAGGGTTCTTCTCTGACAGCCAAGGACTGCTTCTGCAATTCTAGAAACCCTTCCAGGAGCCATTCATTCCCCCAGGGATGCCATCTATCTCAGATGATTGAAAACCTAGAAACTGGCTACTAATAAACATTGTCTTCTTACCGCACTTGCAGTGCCGGGCTCCCAGTGAGCACCTTATCCTTTTACCATGAGAAATGCTACTTTAAGCAGGATAGCATGGAGCTGAATAGCTACCACCCATAAAATATCATCGAGCAATATCACTTTGTTGCCATCAAACTCAATAGGGAAAAGTGATCAACTAATCTGGATCTCAGGATGAAGACGCTGTGGAGAACTTGGTCACAAAATTCTCATCCCCAATGCATCTTAACAGAAGACCCACTCATGAAGAAAGGGTCCCTTGGATGGGAAACGCCTCACAGGTAGCAACCCGTGGATACCTGAGCTGTGGGCTCTGACCAGTACAGGGACTAAGGAGGAGAAGAATCTGGGATGGCATCCTCCCAGGACCTGGCCATATACCTATAATAGCACCTTCATCCAGGAACGAGGCGGCCAGGGAGAGATGGGCAGAGAGCAAAGGCAAGCTGGAACAAGAGAGGGGTCAGCGAGGACTCAGGGGCTCGGAGGCACAGGCACAGAAAGGGGCTGTGACCCACCCTCCTTCTCCCCACCTCCAGCCCCCCTCAAGCAATCTGTAGGGGGACAGGTGAGACACGGCAACAATGAAATCAGAAAGCAGGTATTTACGGGTTGGTCTTGCTCAGAATGAAGAATGCACTCCCTTCAGGGATGGGGGCGATTTTCTCCTTCATGTTCAACTCTGAGATTCTACGAGGACGGGGGCCAGCTGGAACCTCGGGTTCATCCTCTTCCTCCTCCTCTTCCTCTTCCCCTACTTTAAATGAGACACTTTTTTTTTGTAGGCATGAAATAATGGTTGCATTGGGTTTGAATTATTCTCAATTTCACGTGAAGAGTCAACTTTCACATCTATCGCCTTACATTGGTCAAAACCCTTCAGAATGTGGCCTGAGTGCCTGTGGGGGGCCGAGAAGTGTGCCCGTCTGTGAGTGCATGCAGTTCTGGGAAGGAGGGCCCGGCAAGTCCAGGTCTGAGCAAAGGTGAAAGGTATCAGTGCAGTACTCCCAGCATCCGGCTGTTTCCCCAGTGGCTTTGCTCAGCTTCTGCCTGGAAAACTGTGTGTGGGGCTTCAAGCCACACACGATCAGTGTCCTCCACCCCACTGGCACCCCCGCCCCCAGAGTCCCTGCTACATCAGCCAATAAAGGTAAGGCACCAGCAAATGTGAAAGGGACAGGTGGGCAGTAATAATAACAGTAGTAATGGCTGGTTGCCTCCTAGAGAAGTTTCCCACCAGAGGTGGGGCTTGCCCTGATCCACTCACACTTTCTCTCCCCACCACCTGGAATTTGAGTTATGCAAGCTACCTGGGTGACCGAGGAAAGCAGCAGGGTTGACTGCTCCACAGCCACAAGGATGAGGCCCACAGCCTCGGCAGCCTCACTGCTCACCATGCACCCCAGCTGGGCTAGCCAGCCAGAGACTGAGCCTCTGATCACTGAGTGGTAGCAAAGCCGTATCACCCCTGAACCGAGAGCCTGTCACCGGCCTCTGCCACCATACCTGGCACATCACAAGGTGGGTAGGGGTCCTTGTCTTCATCCTCTTCTCGATAGTCATCAATTGTAACCTACGATGACAGAGAGGGCTTGGGAGGAGGGGAGACTCTGACTTCAATGCACCGCAGAGGACCAAAGTACAGACTCGACCCTGCCATTCAGTGCAGGGAGAGAAACTCTCTCCAAAGTGCACATTGCACAGAAGTGTGTGCGTGCATAGGGACAGCAAATGTCCCCGTTGATGATTCTGCTTAAGACACAGCTCTGAGGGCAAATGAGGAGAAAATGGGTATAACCTCCATCCAGCCATGGTTAGCCAGCACCACCATCCACGCGCCTCCCCACTCAACACTGTCCTACACACTGTATGGTAACTGCGAGGTCCTGTCTCCCTGCTAGAATGTGAGCTCCATGCACAGAGGGACCTCACTGGTCTTGTTCATTGCTGATTTCCAGTATCTGCCACACATTAACCACTCAGTAAGTATTTATTGACTCACGGAACAAACAAAGGAATAAAAAATCCAGAGCTGTCATGAGTGGGATGAAGTCTGACACTACAGCCCTGAGTACCCAGAACCGGATCCTAAGATCCCTTCTGGAGGTAGACATCTGTTAACATCCTTGATTTTAATCCCCACTGAGAAGATATAACAGGTCAGGTCTGGTGACACAATTCCAATAAAGAAAAAATAAGTAGTCCCACCAGTCAAATATTTACCATACCAGTTATTTGGTGAAATATTGATTAATAACCAGCTAGCTGCCTAAATTCACTGAGAATCCCCCTGGGAAGCCAGCATCTATAATGTGTGTCATACCCTCACACCAAAATATCATGCATGATACCTTCCCAGTGTAAATGGTACATTTATGATGATATCAACAGACCCATAGCGAAACAAAAAGAGGAGAACTGTTTTAGGACATATACCTTATTGTCACTGTTGGCTATCTGGTTGACCTCTGGTTTGTTGTTCTTTTTATTCTCCAGGCTCTCTTTTCTACACAGAAGAAAACATGAGAACCCAAGTAACCATATTGCTATGTATAAAAATGCTAATCCAGATTCTGAATCAACAGTGGCCTGATGAAGGACGGAATTTAATTGGAAACAACCCTAACAGTGAGACCACAGCACAACCCATCCTCAGAGCTCCCTGTTCACCTCAGTGCACTGGGTTTATTACATGGATCATCTTATTAAAATTCTCATCCAAGAGCTCATCAGCATTGAACGCATCATTTATTTTATGCCACCAAAATTAACCACAGAGATTCTTTAAGCATGGGGACGTGTGACTCCTACTCTCAGCTCTGAGGAAATGAGAGCTGAGGGCCTGGGTTCTGCCCAAGATTCTATCCTTGGGTGAAAATGGAGTTACCTGGCAATCTTCTTCCTTTCCTTCTCTTCAGCTTCCTCTTTCTGGGCAGTATTCAAACTCTCAGCATCAGCCAGATTGTCTACAGCGATGGCCAAGAAGACATTCAGTAGGATATCTAGTGTGAACATTTTAAGGGAACAACGTAATTTCTAAAGGCAGCTATGTGTCACCGATAATGGCAACCTCACATCCCTCTGTGTTCTGGGAGGTTGGTAAGAGGTGACTGTCCCCTAGTTGCTGTATTTACATGGTAAGACCAGAGGACCAGAAACCTGTTTAAAACACAAAAACAACAAAAACAAGACCTAGAAACTTGTAGAAGACAGTCTGGAAAGAAGCAAAATTAAGGTTCACTAAAACCCATGAAAACCTACAAATTTCAACATTTCCTTTCATCCGTGTGCATATGTGGCACATATGTGTATGTCTCTGTACACCAGGTATCTGTAGCTATAACACATGCTGCATAAAACAATCCATAACATAAACATGGTATTTTTATGCATTTTGCTTTATGCATATTGTTTCTTTTAAAACACACACACCCAGGGGCGCCTGGGTGGCACAGTCGGTTAAGCGTCCGACTTCAGCCAGGTCACGATCTTGCGGTCCGTGAATTCGAGCCCCGCGTCGGGCTCTGGGCTGATGGCTCAGAGCCTGGAGCCTGTTTCCGATTCTGTGTCTCCCTCTCTCTCTGCCCCTCCCCCGTTCATGCTCTGTCTCTCTCTGTCCGAAAAATAAATAAACGTTGAAAAAAAATAAAATAAAATAAAACACACACACCCATAACCTATATCCAGGGCGTGCTTTCCAAAATAGACCCTTCTAAAGGCTACATGTGAATCAAATGATGATTCCACAAGATGATGACTGCACAATACAGTTTTGAGTCTTTCTCTTTTGAGATGATCTTCAGAGTTTGCAGATACCTCATTCATTCATTCATTCATTCATTCATTCATTCATTATGCAAACGCTGATGTATTGTCAGATGGTGCCAGGCTATTCTTTTGAATAGTCACACCGTAGCTATATCTTTGACTATTGTGGGTGAATTGTATTTTTTAAAATACTAAAAAGTGAAGTGAGTGAACGCATGATCAGGTTTTGGGCTCTTACTCTAATGTTGTATGTGTGTCTTCCTTGGATGATAGTGAAAAAAAAATTCTGAATAAGGTTCTGAATAAGGCATCCTAGAAGATGCCTATTTCTTATTCACTAGCAGTTCAATACTTTTTTGAGAAGCACAGGGATCAGAGGGAAATAAGCCAAGACAGCTCCTTCTCTGACCATGCTTCTCCCTGGCTGATGCATGGTCATCTGGGTAGAAGACTGTGGGAGCCCAGGAACTCAGAGACAGGAGAGGGGCACCCATGTCCCACAGGGCCTATGCAATCTGCAATCTCAGGTGCGTAACACAAAAGTAACCTAGCAAGGGGCTGACAAGGAGATACCTTCTGGGGATATCACGCTGCACTAATCTATTCAAGTCTTTAAAGAGGATAGATACATGAATGAATTACATTAAAACTTTCAAAAATGCGTTTGATATGTTAGACTATTTTTTAAGCAGAATGTAATGAGCCTGGGGAAGCAATCTGTCCTGGAATGGGCGATGGCTTGGTAACATGAGCACTCCTCTGATAGATGAGGGGTAATTGTGGCTCTGTCAGGGATCAGTGTAGGACTAACTGGGTTGAGGATTCCTAGCAATGATCTCAATGAAGAAGTAATGTATCTTTACATTACTGTAAAGCTTGCAGTGACACCAAACTCTTTTGGGTAGCAGAAAGCACATCCAGAGTAATGAACCATAGGAAAATTTTACAAGTTCGCAACAGATGGTTTCTAAAAGCTCACACCTATCATCTGTATTTAGAAGCATTACCCAGACCCTTCTAAACAGTGGTATGCTCTGGAATTCATTCAAAAAGATCCACCCAGGGGCGCCTGGGTGGCGCAGTCGGTTAAGCGTCCGACTTCAGCCAGGTCACGATCTTGCGGTCCGTGAGTTCGAGCCCCGCGTCGGGCTCTGGGCTGATGGCTCGGAGCCTGGAGCCTGTTTCCGATTCTGTGTCTCCCTCTCTCTCTGCCCCTCCCCCGTTCATGCTCTGTCTCTCTCTGTCCCAAAAATAAATAAACGTTGAAAAAAAAAATACAAAAAGATCCACCCAGCACCTCTTTCACACTGACGACTGTGCCGGGTGCTGGGGGCATGACAGACCTGGGTCCCTACTGCCACGTAGCATCTATTCTAGTTGGGGGAGACAGAACATAAACTACTTAGGCGTTTCAGATAGTGATACAGGTATTACAAAGAAAACACAGCATGTAACTGGAATGAGTGTGGCCAGGGAATACTTCTCTGCAGACCCAAAGCGGGTATATTGCTCTGGCCCAAGAGTTCATTGCAAGGAGAGCACAATAAGAAAACACTGATTCATTTAACAAGCATTTACCAAGGGCTGACTATGTGTAAGGCCCTCCACTATAAGCCACAAGAGATGTGAATACAAAGAAGAAAAGATGCCTGAACCAAGAAGTTTATTGCCGGGGAGCCTGAGCGGGTCAGTCGGTTAAGCATCCAACTCTTGATTCCGGCTCAGGTCTTGATCTCACAGTTCAGATCATGAGATCGAACCCTGCATCAGGCTCTGCGTTGATAGGGCGGAGCCTACAGGGATTCTCTCTCTCTCCCTCTCTCTCTGCCCCTCCTCCGCTCGTGCTCTCATTCTCTCTCTCAAAATGAATAAACAAATGTGTTTAAAAAAGAAGTTCATTGTTGAGTTGGGGGGATGGAGAAGTCCCCACCCCAAACCAGTAGATGCTGGCACCCACGTGCAGCAGGAGCAACAAAGATAACATCTGGCAGGAGAGCTCACCTCTGGGTAGGAGGGGTGTTCTAGCTGCCTGAAGGATTCTATGGGCTTCTATGTACTGAAGGTGGGGATTTCCATAGAATAACTTGAAGCAAGAAGTAGTGTCCTGAAAAGTTTGCAACAGGGCTACTGCATGGAAGAAAACTCACTAATGAACAAGAGGAGATTAAGGGGAAAACTTCGGGGAAAACAGCTTGGGACTTCTTACGAGAAGAATCCCTTTAGGATTCTTTAAAATAAAAAGGTGAAGACCGGGGCGCCTGAGTGGCTACATCAGTTAAGCATCTGACTTCAGCTCAGGTCATGATCTCATGATTCATGAGTTCAAGCCCCACATCACGCTCTGTGCTGACAGCTCAGAGCCTGGAGCCTGCTTCCGATTCTGTGTCTCCTCTCTCTCTCTGCCCCTCCTCCCACTCATGCTCTGTCTCTGTCTCTCTCTCAAAAATAAATAAACATTAAAAAAATTTTTTTTTAAAAAAGGTGAAGACCAAGAGGTGGTATTCATGTTACAGCCACTCTCCCACCAAGCCCTTATTGAGGACTCCATACACCAGGTCTTGTGCCGGTCAGGGAGGTCAGAGAGAGAAAGAAGACACTGCCGAAAGTTACAGGGTCCTAAAGGCTCTGATGGAGGGAAAGAGAGATCCAAACCTTCAGAAGTCTAGAATTAGAGAGTGCCTCTTGGCAGGAAAAAGGAATAAAAGGAGTTAGAAAAGAGCTCACAGCCTAATACAGCCACTAGCCAATGGCACCTGATCCCCAGAGAGGTACAGATCACCAAAGCCAGATTGGGTCCGGGGAGCTTAGGTCAAGCCACCGCTGATGGGTGCCCACTGGTTAGGAAGCATTTTTAAGAGACACAGATTTACCCCTAACTTCCCAGGTGTGACGGCACGGAGGACAACCGGCTCTGCCCTGAGCCTTCCCTTGGGACCTGTACAGAGCTGTGTCACCAAGCTGGGTGACAACTGGTACAGGCCACACACTGGCCCATGCTCCCTTCCCCAGCTTGCTCAGTCCTCAAAGCCTCACTGGACCTCTGACCCCATTACACTGTCCCAGCAGCCCTGAAGGAGAGCAGGTGTCGAGCTAACAAGGTAAGGGCGTGCATCTCCCCAGCCCAACTGCCACCGCCACCCGCCACCCGCCCCCACGACCGCCTCAGGAAAACTCAGACAGGGAGAAACAAAAGGAGATGATGACGACAAAGCCCTGCTCAGCTTGAAGGATACAGTTACCACAAATGAAGAGGATGATGAAGTAGATGCAGACGATCATTCCCGAGGACGACGGGCCGCCATAGGCCATGATGCCATCATACATCACAGCGTTCCAATCTTCACCTGTCAGAATCTAAGAGAACCAAACTGTGGTCAGCCTGCATGCGCTGGACCGCAACTCCCGACAGTCCGCCAGAGCTCTCTGGGGGCCACCCGATTCTGGTTTCAGCTGCCTTTCACTGTCCAGTTTGCGCTCAGCAAAGCAATTGGTTTCCCCGTAGAGTTTTCAAAACACTGTTTTCAATTACACAAACACTTACGTTAATTCTTCACATGGAAATAAAGTAACACCACATATGAGACTTATGTACTCTTTGGTGACACCCTAGTTTTGCCCCCACCCCCCGAGAACACGGTGCATCTCTCTCTAGAACCTTTTTGCATGTAACATATAGATGCACGTCCAGAGGAAAGAGGTAGTTGGTGTGTTCTCAGATATATTAAACATAAAGGGTGTCTGTTATACTATATGAATTTTCTGCATTTGCTTTTTTTTTCTTTTTTCATTCAGCAATATACTCTGGAGACCCTCTGTGTCAGTCAGTGCCCTTCAGTCCTTTTAACGGCTGCCTACTATTCCACATAGTTAACGTACTGTGGAAATGGAGAGTTGGATCCCTGAACTTGTAAGAAGCAGTGAACTACAAATATCTCCTGTAAGTTTACAAACTACCTCAGGAGTAGGTACTAAGAGCTGCCATAAATTTCCAAGTTAACCTTCTCTACTGATGATATTTGATAACTCGATCTATCATCCAGGGGCGCCTGGGTGGCTCAGTTGGTTAAGCGTCCGACTTCGGCTCAGGTCCTGATCTCACAGCTCATGAGCCCGAGCCCTGCATCAGGCTCTGTGCTGACAGCTCAGAGCCTGGAGCCTGCTTCAGATTCTGTGTCTCCTCTCTCTCTGCCCCTTCCCTGCTCACTCTCTGTCTCTCTCTCCTTCAAAAATAAATAAATATTTAAAAAATTAATAAAAACATACTATCTTCCAGCAAGAGAAAGAAAGAGGGAGGGAGCACATGTGCTCTTGTACCATCTAGCTGCACCAGATACTTTAAAAAATAGAACTGTCATGGCTGACAACCCAACAGAAACATGGGCAAATGATTTCAAAAGATAAAGCAATTCCCAGAAAAGGAACTATAAATGGCTCTGTGTCCCATGAAAAGGCATTCAGTTTCACTCCTGATAAGAGAAGTAGGAAGACACTATTTTCACCTGTCAGACAACCATCAAAAAGCTTGAACACCCACCATGCTAAAAAGTAGTGAGGCATTGGGCAGTCTCCAGCCCCCATCCCTGGAGGACAGACCGACAGTACTGTGAGGAGCACGGTAGGCAAGATATCAGAGTTGAAAACGGACTCACACCCTTCAAACCAGCAATTCCATTTCTGGGAAATTTATCCACATCTATGCTCACACATGTGCCCAGGGTGTGAGTTCGACGTCACCCACTGAGCTGAGGCCAGACACAAACAGTCACCAAGCTAGGGACTGGTTGACTTGAAATAGTCACCAAGCTAGGGACTGGTTACATGAATTAGGGGACAGGAACACCACACCACAGGGCTGACGCGGAATCGGAAAGGAGGCAAACTCTTATGGACCAATAAGGAAGGTTCTTAGGGACACTTTAAATGGTAAGAAAATGGAAAATGGCAGGTAACATGAGCCACTGTTTACATCATACTGTATTCATGGGCAGGTAGGTGGGTCGCTAGGTTCACTGACTCACATCTACGAGCAAATGTATCTCAAAGAATACACAGACACCATCCAGTGGTGGTTGCTCCTACAAGGAGAAATTGCGGGCTGCGTGGGAAGGAGACTCATTTGTTACTTTAAAAATTTTTTTTTCAACGTTTATTTATTTTTGGGACAGAGAGAGACAGAGCATGAACGGGGGAGGGGCAGAGAGAGAGGGAGACACAGAATCGGAAACAGGCTCCAGGCTCTGAGCCATCAGCCCAGAGCCCGACGCGGGGCTCAAACCCACGAACCGCGAGATCGTGACCTGGCTGAAGTCGGACGCTTAACCCACTGCGGCACCCAGGCGCCCCTCATTTGTTACTTTAAACCCTTTTGTAAACATTTGAATTTTGTGCTATACACAGGTACTACCAAAACCCACCACCACCATAGGGTTTCTCTGTTTCTCTGAAATAAAAACAGAATAAAGAAAAACTAACCAGCGGCTAAGAATTAAGGATAATTCAAATAATTAAAGTATAGTTCAAAAAAAGTATGGCCTATGGCGACGACAAGAATTCCATCCACCTCAAATGACCAAGTGGGAATGAATCCTACAGATCATTCCCTCCAGTCTCTTGTTTTTTTCAGAACGGATAGTGACTTCCCAAGGTCACAGAGCTGAGCACTGAAAGAGCCAGCAGGGCGGCCTCAGTGTCTAGGCCCCTCCCACCATGCCTTCCAGCCTCCCCAGATGGACTCCCCCAAAGCTGGAGCTCACTGGCATCGTGTGTGAAAGCAACAGGGGCAGAGGGGTCTTTTAAATTTATATGCCACTCGTTGTTCGAGGAAGGGCTTCGGGTCACCACATGCGAAGGCGGGAGGGGGGAGGTTTAGAACACCCAGCTTAAAGCCAGGTGGGAGCAGACACTGCTGCTTTGAGTGCCTAGCCACCTGAGCACCTCTGACACCGTCCCTCCTTCTCAGCGGTGCCTGCCCAGGACCCAACAGCACAGACATGCTCAGGGCCTGCGTGTCCTCATTACATCACGGGCGGGAGAGCAAAAGGGGCTGAAGGCTGTCACAACTCTTTTATCACCCCGGTTCCTCTGACTGCACACCAGAGCATTAGGACTTCAGAATTCACCTCTCTGCACAAATCCGTTAGAGCCAGGGTCCCAAAGCTGGCCTGCAAAAATTAGCGCAGAACAGGAAGAGGATTTTAGAGCCTATATCACAGAAACCTCGCAAACCTCACCAAATCAAACAGAAGTTTTTGCTTTGTTGTCCTGTACCATATCCAGTGGTCCTACAAAAAACAGTGAATCACACCGCACAGACAGCCGGAGTCAAGTGCGAAACAAATGGCTTTCATGGTGCCAGATTTGTCAGAGCATTACTGGGGCAGAGGTCGCTAACCACGGCAGAATCATCCCGTCTTCCTGAGTTGTGAACTGACAAGCTGGCGGCTCACACGGGCTCCTCGCGAGGGCTCACCTGGAATACCGTCAGGAGGGCTTGAGGGAAATTGTCAAAGGTGCTCCGCTTGGTCTGCGTTTCGTCAAAATTAAACTTGCCACCAAACAGCTGCATCCCAAGCAAGGAAAAGATGATGATGAAGAGAAAAAGCAGAAGCAACAGCGAAGCAATGGACTTCATGGAGTTTAACAAGGAGGCCACCAAGTTGCTGAGGGAAGTCCAGTGCCTAGAAGTCAAGATGGGGGTGTGAGCCCAGAACGCCCGCAGGACACCACAGACATTGCTGGACCGGGATGTGGCTGGTCGCCAGCCCCCGGCCAGAAAACACCTGCAGCGAGACACACGCATCCTTACCTGGTCACCTTGAAAATCCTTAAGAGGCGCACACACCGAAACACAGAGATCCCCAGGGGAGACATGATTTCCAGCTCCACCAGGATGGTTTCAGTAATTCCACCACATACCACGAAGCAGTCAAACCGATTAAAAAGAGAGACGAAATACGCCTGGAGACCCAAGCTGTACATTTTTACCAGCATCTCGCAGGTGAACAGAGCCAGGAGGACTTTGTTAGCGATATCTGGAAAGACAGAGGGGCACACGTGCTCGGGGTCTCATCGTGGGACTGGCTCAGACTCGTTTTCCCCCCTCCCACCCCACCAGTCTCTGCTGGAAATGCCCCAGCACTTTGCCCTGTCTTTGCTGTGGCGCCTGTTACAGAAATGTAGCGTCAATATTTACGGTCTGTCTCCTGGGTTCAAGTCCTGCTTCTGCTACCACCTAGACATGGGACTCTGGAGCAGCCCCTTGACTTCTCTGGGCTCAGTTTCCCAGACTATAAAATGGGGAGGAGAAGTTTCCCACACAATCTCTGATGCTTTCTAGCCCTAAAAGCCCATGATTCTGCATTTAGACCAGCATATTATATTTCTCGTCTCCATCAGTCACGGAGGGGCAATCTGGCCTTGCTTAGGTGCCAATGATAGAAGAAGCAGTTGTCTATCAAGTGGCAACAACCACTTGCCAAGAATACCATACAGGAAAATAAAGCTTCTGGTAGGGTCAGGGAGAAGGGAGACGAGGTCCCTCTCAACTGCAAGATTCCTTGATCCTAGGTTGCCACAGGGTTAAGACAATGAGAGGCTTGGGCGTCAATCAGCCCCAAGGTGCTTCCACTGACCACGTGACAAGCACTACACCCCCGCTGCTCTGGGTGCAGCCTCTCTCTGGATGGTTCCACTGTCTTCCAAGCTAGTGCCCTCGAGGAATGTCCCGACGTCGCACATTGATAAGCCTCAGGAGTCCCTAATTCAGAGTCAGAATAAAAAGAGAACAGCCTCTGCTCGTACCTTGAATCTGCGTCAACCAATCAGGCTGGTTGTAGTGCTCGGAGGAAATGGTTAAGGTGTTGAGAAACACCAGGACAATAACCAGCCAGTAAAATGTGACAGACTTCACAGCAGCCCTACATCTCCTGCGATTGAATCGGTTCCAGCGGCGCCAGCGGCGGCTGCAAGAGAAGCAAAAGTTACTCCCCGAATGGCAGACAAAGCATCTGAACGTCCAACAGACGTTATGGAGACATAAGCTGGTCTTTAACTCTGGAGATCCAGGTCACGGGGTGCAGGAAGGAAAGATGAGAACAAAGGACACAGAAATTAACAGAACTCATCATACTAATTGTGTTGGTCTTAAAATACAACTTTTAAAATAGTATCTTGACCTGATCACGCTATCAGTTTCCTTCCTATGGTTTTAGATAACTCCGTAATCTGCCCTAAGCAATCTTCAAACTAGTGAGAAGAATGTAGATATTCATAGATTCATATGCAGATGCAAAACCGAGCCCGCACACATATATGCAGTTCCCACCATATGGTACACGGGTCTGTTCACACTATGGGTGCAGAGAGCCGTCTGGCTGATCATACACATCTCTTGCAGCATCTTAACCGTCATACAGAATTTCTCAGGCAGCAAAGTGCTCCAAACCCAGTTTTCCTTTTAGGGAAACTTTAGGTCCTTTCTTAAATCCGGGAGGTTCCTCCAGAGCCTGGCAGACTTGTCAAAGCTGAGTAGGACATGAGTCTTCATCCTGAGTCATCAGGTGCCCTTGCTAACTAGCGATGCTCAAAATATACCTTTAGGAGAAGAGCCAATATTGAATCATGTTTTCATACAAATAAGATGAGCTGAGCCAGACAGACAAGTAGCATGTCCTCTACTGACTTTCAGTTCTAGTGTGTCGTTAGGGAAAGGATCCCCTCCCTTAGCCTCTTCTCCCCGTGGAAAACATTCCCTGCCACAGGATGGATTGGTGAGGTGGGTCCCAGAAAAAAGCCCAGCCAAGTGGCGATGTCAGTCCTGTGCAGGCTGTGTTCACTGACGGGGGCTGTGGGCACCTCCTCTGGGGGCCTGAGTCAGAGGAATCTCCAGGCTGGGTCCAAGCTGCAGCGCTGGCTGACTCAGCGGCGTTGCTATGCTAAAAACACCGTAACCCAGGGACCGAGCAAAGAAAGAACCACGCTGACTCTTCAACAAGGCCTGGCACAAGCAAAGTGCATTTTGTTCTTGCTCCTGCTATGTGGTTTCCATGGTAACAGTGGCTGGAAACATGATGACCAGTGTAGAAAAATCCCACTAAAGACTGTCCCCTTGAGGCTGGGTTTCTCCTGAGATACATAATTCAGTACACACAAGCAAGGTGATCCGAAAAAGAACCAGAGTTGGTGGTTCTATTTATGCTGTAGTGACAAGTCACAAGCATCTCATCATGAGGTCTTGGAGGCTTCACTCTCCCATCCCCTGAAGTCCTGCAGCATTTCTCAATGTGCCCCTCATGGGGCTCCAGACACTGGGTATGTGGAGGTGAAGAAGGTGCCTCGTCCTGCGGCCTCTGACCTTGAAAAGCACGCAAGGTTGGGGCAAATAACAATTATAAATCCCCACTAAGCGCTTCTCTCAGGGTCCCGAGTACAGGCGGAGAGACAGGAGCAGCAAATGCTCTCTGCGTGAGGCAGGAAAGGCTTCTCTGAAAAGCTGAGATTTGGGCGGGCTCTGGATAACAGAGTAAGGGTTCACCAGGGGGCAGAAGGGAGGGCACTCCACCCCAGGCGACCACATGGCCAAGGGGACTGAGGTGGGAAGAAACCGCATGTTGAAAACTGAGAGCAGTCCAGTTACCGCCACAGAGTGGGGAGTAAGGGGGCGGTGTCCGAGGATCAGGCCAGAGAGCGAGCTGGGGGCCAAAGTATGAAGGAATGAATACCCCTCTGGCAACAGGGAGTCAGGGAGGGGCCTTTAATTGTTCTTTTTTAAGTCCAGTTTATTGAGATAGATAGATATGTGGTAACTATTAACATTTAGGAAGAGGGTTTGTAACCACCACCACAGTCAAGAGGTAGAAGATCTCCATCACCCAAAGAACTTCCCTCATGGCCCTTTGTGACAGTTAACCCACCCTCCTCACCTCAGCCCCTGAAAACTACTGTTTTTTGTCCCTATTGTTTTGTCTCATCCAGAATGTCCAATAAATAGAATCACACAATATAGAGCTTTTTGAGACTTGCTTCTTTCACGTAGCAAAAATACTTTCCGGATTCGTTTGCGTTGTATCTATCGGCAGTTTTTTCCTTCTTATTGCTGAGCGTTATTCTGTCATATGCGCGAACTGCGATTTGTCTACCCATTCGCCATCTGACGGACGCTGGAGTTATTTACAGTTTATAGCGATTACATATAAAGTTGCTGTAAACTCTTATGTAAACATTTTTCATGCAGGCATTGATCTTCATTTTATATAAATACCTCGGAAGTGGAATTGCTGGGTCATACAGTAAATAGATGTTTAACTTTCCAAGCAGCTGTCAACTTGTTTTCAAAAGGGCCGTGTCTTCCAACCTGCAGGAACATATGGGAATGCCCACCAATCTGCATCCTTGTCAGCACTTGGTATTGTCAGATTTTAAAATTTGATCTGTAGGTGTAAAAAATTTTCTAATAGGTGTATAGTGATGCCTCACCGTGATTTTAATTTGCATTTTCCTCGTGACCAATGGTCATATCATGTGCTTCTTTGCCATCCACCTCTCTTTGGTGACATACCTGTTAAAATATACTAACTCTTGGGGCGCCTGGGTGGCGCAGTCGGTTAAGCGTCCGACTTCAGCCAGGTCACGATCTCGCGCTCCGTGAGTTCGAGCCCCGCGTCGGGCTCTGGGCTGGTGGCTCGGAGCCTGGAGCCTGTTTCCGATTCTGTGTCTCCCTCTTTCTCTGCCCCTCCCCCGTTCATGCTCTGTCTCTCTCTGTCCCCAAAATAAATAAAAACGTTGAAAAAAAAATTTAAAAATAAAATATACTAACTCTTTTTTTATAGTTTTCCAATTATTCACACCATATTTATGTATTATTCTTCTCATATACTGGATACTAGTCCTTTATCAAATGTTTTGCAAATGTTTTTTCTTCCGGTCTGGAGCTTATCTTCTCATATGGCCAGTGTTTTTGGGTTTCGTCTCTTAAGAAACCTGTGCCTGACCCAGGGTCACAAAGATTTTTCTCCTGTGTTTTCTTTTAGAATGTTTACAGTTTTAGGTTTTACATTCATATGTCCACTTCAAGTCAATTTTTGTAGTAAAATGTTGTTTTTAATTGAAAAATAGCATTTGTATGGAAAAGTATACAAATCATAGGTATATGGTTCAATGTGTTATTACCAACAAAACATGTAACCTGCATCCAGAGCAAGGAACACAACATCACTAGCACCTCAGAAGACCTCTTGAACCCCCCTCCATAAAAAACTTGTAAGCAGAAAAGAGACAAGAAGAATCCCTCTTTAAGGACAGACTCTGGGCAGGAGTACGAAGGGTTGATTGGTGACAAGAAATTGTTCGTTGTTACGTCCTGTCAGTTTGTCTTGGGGCAAGATCTTCAGCACCTACTCTGCTGCTCTCCACGGCAGGTGTTTGATACTTACTGGACAGACCGATCTTCAATATGAATGTTCTAGCCCACAGAGTAAAAACCAAGTCTAGAGCAACTCCATGTATAGTTGAGAAGTTAGAAAGTAAAACACCAGCACACAGGCTTAAGAAAAAACAGAAGATACTGACCTGAGCTTGGATTTTGAGATGGCTTGACTGAAAGAAAGAAAGAATATGATTTCGATTAGGAAGGTTTGAGCATTTTCTCCCCATCACTTCAGCTAAGAGATGGAAAAGCCATGCACAGAAGCCTGGGCTCAGCATCCCCAGCTTTCCCAGTGAGCCAGCAGGGGTGAGAGCAGAGCAGGAGGCGGGGTCTGCCGGGGCCATGCAGGCCAGGCTGACACCCACCAGGGCCCAGGCAGAAGACTCTTAGCCGGCTGCCCTGTGCAGCCCTGTCACAGGCCATTGATGCCGGTGGAGGTCCTTCTCCCCTGACCCCACTTCCCCAGACTGAAGTCAGCCCACCCACTCCCCTGCTTGCAACTCAGCCACATTGTGCTGCTACTACAGCAAGAGAAGCACTGGATTAGGAGTCCTGGCTCTGCTATCCACTAACTGCATGGGTTCGGGCAAGCAGCACAACTTTTTGAGCCTCAGTGTTCTCATCTGTAAAATGAGGATAACGAACCCGTCCCCCCGCCTACTTTACAATGTTGTAGAGAGGGTGGAGCAAGACAACGGAGGCAAACGCACTTCTTAAATTACTGAGCATTCTGCCCAAAACACATTATTTTTACGAATCTCTGCAAGAAGATCAAATTTTCTTAAAAACACCGCCTCTACTTTACAGAGATAAGACCTAAAGGGTACCAGCAGAAAGCAAATGAAATAAAATCGCATGGGCTCCCCAGAGTAGGCAGTACTCTGCACATTGCACACTGCTGGTCCCCACCAGGGACCAGGTTATCCAGACAGAAGCCAACAGGGGTGAATGTGGTGGCGCCCTCCACTATTAGGAGAGGGTGGTGCAGGGCTCCAAAACCAGGTGCCGTGAGCAAAGGATAGAGGGCTCTCAGTGTCCAGCCCCGTGTACGAGGCCGCAGAGAACCCGCCAGTGAAGGAAAACTTAAATATGCAGCGCATTCTGTCAGCCGCTCTGCCATACAAGCGCTTCGTCAAGGCACGGATGCCAACAGCAGACAGGGAGGAGAATCAGGCCTGTTACCCCCACCGCCGACACCCAGAGGGCCCAGCCTTGGCCGTGCCTCTTCGCTTCCACCAGCACCTAGTGGAACAGTGGAATTGCCGGGTTACCTGGCACGCCCCGCAGCAGGCTCTGCCTCAGCAGGACGGGCTGCTCTGGGGGAAGAGGCATGTGAAACGCCGGGGGCCTGGGGGCCTGGGATGGGAGGGGAGACCAAGGGGTCCAGGGTGAGCCCACCCACCCCTCGTGCACCTGAGGCTATGGCCCCGGGGCTCCACTGAAATCTGGGGTGACTTCCCCCACACGTGTCCCTCCAAGAAGACAGGAGGGGGCGGGAGGGCCAGCGGCCTCCACACTCACCAGAGACTCCCGCAGCCGCCTTGGTTCTCGCCTCCACCACTTACGTTCTCCGTGTTCACAGACTCTGTCTCGCTGGTCGGCATGCTGGCTGCAGGGAGAAGACAACACTTTAGACGGGCACATTGGTGGCTCTACGTGCCCCGGAGTTGGCTGGATGCAGATTGCCGCCACCACCAGGCAGGCCCTCTGGGAGCCTGGGAGGAGGGTGGGGGAGGGTGAGAGGTCAGGCACCTCCAAGGCAGGGACCCTTTGCTCGCAGGACCTGATCTGCCATTCTGCAAAGAAAGTCCATAGGGCACCCCTCCTCCCCATCGGAAGGAAATTCAGCCTAGGGGAGGAACTCTGAGCCTCACACCAGCGTATTCTCTTGACTTCCAGGAATGCACTGCGTGAGGCCACCAAAACAACTCAGTTACAGTGACATCTCTGTTTGCCTCAACTGCCGCTCTCTAGAAAATCTAGACCAACACTTCATACGTGAATTCTTATTTTAAATATACTGAAGGAGCAGACGTATCGGGTGCAGGAGTACATGAAGGTACCAAGCACAAAATCTTTTTAAAAATTTCAGAACGCTACTCATTATTGACTAATTTGTCTGATGTCTACATTCCGCCGAACCAGTGCGGCCAATACGCAGAAGGCTCTCACCAAAGTGGCCAGAACCAGAGCACACAGAAAGCATATAGTCTGACAGGCAGAAGGTTTGCTCCCAACCAGTGACCAGAGGGCAAAGCTGACCGTGGTCTCAGGGTCACTGGGGTCTCTGGACACGTGTCACTCCTCTACAGCTGGATCCTGAGCAGAGGAAGTAGAGGGAAGGTAGAAAGGCACCGAGGGATGCTGGGAGGTCCCGGGACCCACCATCTGGCACACGGGCATTATTTCTCATCCACCTGACTCAACCCTATAGCATCACAGGCATATGTTGGAGCTGGGCCAGAAAGGAGACGCAGGGCATAAAGAGGGACACAGCGCTGCACCTGCCTTGGAAAACCAATGGATGCCAATTAACTCAGAAGAGAGCCGCCTCAGGGTTCCGTGCAAGGAGTCCTGGAAACACACAGGAAGGAATGATGAATTCTGCCCTGGGTTAGGAGAGGGGTTCACTGAAGATGGAAATGTGGGAGAACCGCCCAACCACGTGCGCTTCTTTACCCTGACGCCTAATTTTGAACTGTGGTGACCGTCTTTTACAGACCCGATGGTAGCAACGGGAAGGCCTTCCCCCTGTGGGCTCTGCCGACATGGCTTTTCTTGGCAAGGATGCCTCCGGTTTGATCTGCAGAGACGGGCAGTGGTGCTGCAGGGCCCTGGCGGAGGCTCTTAGGCCGGCCCAGGAGCAGAGGGCAAAGGAGCCGGGTCAGCAAGTGCCATGGTGTGGCCGTGTGTCTGCGGGCCCTGCTCGGACAAGGGCTGGGCTCCCAGAGAGCCGAGACACATCTTTCCTGCCGAAGGGAATCCTCTTCCCTCTGTGGGCACCTAAGTCCCATAGCTGTGTCCAGGAGCATTTAGGCAAAAGTGTCAAAAGCAAAATGAGCAAAAATTACAGACCGACATCGCACTACAGATATTCTCTCAGAATAAACCTTTTTTTCTTCCTCAATTAAGTCAAAAGAAACCAACTACAAGCTTTCATTCACTTTTTTACTACTCCGCTCAAAAAAAAAAAAAAAAGACAAAAATAAAAACCCCACATAATCCAACCGCAGATAAGCCTTTAACAAAAACTCCATAAACACACACACACGAGCTGTTCCTGCAATTCTCTTCTCCATGACTGATCTGTGCTCTGACTTGAGGAGAAAGACGAAAACACTGGAAAGTGCAATGAAGTTCATTGTTAATGCGTTCCTCCCATAGGTCACCCTTGTCTTCAGTGACAAAGAACATCACAGTGGGAGACTCCTACAAACGTGACCGTGAGTCGTCTCTGTGCAATGCTTTTTCTTGGTAGTTACTGTCACTACTAACTAAGGGGACAGAAGTTGAGAGCAGGATGACACGGGGCATGGGGCGGGGCGTCGTCCACAGGCCCCAGTTAGCTGGACAGAGTCCCACCTCCCTGCAGGCTTTAATGTCCCATCTGGGAAGTGGCGTTACTAACTCTCCACACTCTTGAGGGTGACTTCCATCTCTAACAGGTTAACACTTCACGGTTCTACTATTAATCATACTGGAACTGTTATTACTATTTCCAAAAGAGCAAACTTCTGAACAGGCTAAATCTTTGTGGCTTCTCACTCTTTTAGGGCCACGTCCCATGATGCTGTCAATACAGTTGCTGCGTTGCATTCCTGGAGCTTCGTTTTTTAAACACTCTGATGGAAACAGATAAATTACGTATTGGCTTTGGTAAATGCAGGGGGGCATTTTGCATTTCTGGCTCTGTGCCAGTTACCAGTGAATTAAATGTACTAGTTACTCTCTGGATGTGGGAACCAAGTGGGGAGAAAGATAAGAAATACAGGCAAACTCCCTAGACAGAAACGAAGAGAGGTTAATTATGTGGCACAGTGTCAGGGCTGGCTGCACAGATGGAGAGAAGTTTCCCTGCCCTCCAGGCAGACTCCATCCTTCAGGTGGGGTGGGATGGTGGCTAAGAGCAGGCTCTCCGGTCAACCAGATCTAAATTTAACCGCACCAATGTGGTCGAAGTCTCCAAGGCTCTGTGTTCCCATCTGTGAAATGGAAAGTACCCACCTCACAAGGCTGTTGGCAGAATTAAGTGAGATAAAACACACTGTGTTTTTCTCACAGTCCTGGGTTATCCTATGTGGGTCCAGAGTGTTGGGCAATCGGTGAGGCTCACACATGGTAACTATCATCTCAGGAAGGCTCTCCCGGAGTCCCCTGGAAGCAAAGCGACACTCCCCTCATGGCCCAAATCCAGGGTCCCTTTGCCCTGACCACTTCCAGTATGGCACAGAGACATCCAGTCTGAACAATCTTCCAGGCTCCTCAGTCAGTTTTGGCTATCACTCTTGGTTTGCAGCTTTTCTGCCTAGCTTAGCCTGATGTAGACATAGCAACTTTTCTATCATTATTGTTTGACATCTAGAGAGGCACAGACCCATAATAAATAACTTAAGCCAGAATGACATCAACCAGGGCTGAGGAGGCGGCAAAGGGGAGGCAAAGGAAGAGGACGGTGACTATGCTGTAATCAGTGACTCGTTTGACCCCAGAAATGGACTGTGATCCAGTCCCTGCATCTGAGCAGAGGAACCAGGCTCTGATGGGGCCCGGCAGCCTTTCTACGTGCCCCAGCCCCTCCCTCCCTATCACAGGGTAGCATTTCCTTTCCCCAAAGTACAGAGACCGCAGGCCCAGTGAAAAAGCATTTCACCCTCCACTTGTACGAGGCACTCATTGTTTCTCATGTTAAAAAATTGGTCTGAGTTTTACTTCACTCAGCCCCAGTGGGACTTTATCTATGTTTTTAAAATCAAGACAGGAGGATCACAGGCTGTTATAACTGGAAGGGGCCTCAGAGATTACATGAAGCAGCTCTGTAGTTTCACAGATAAGAGACCTGACCAATCTGCCTTGGGACACACAGGCCTGCGTGAGAAAGCCCTCCTGCTTCCCACCCGGCCACACCCCCTGTGCTTACGGTATGGGCTTCAATATGCCGGGACACGTGTGCGTTATTGATGTATGTTGATATGTATGCTGGTATATCCTTAAAATTACATTTCATATACTTAAACATACTGGTATATGTTGGTATATGTTGGTTTATCCTTAAAATGCCACACACTAAAAGTTCCAAAAGCCAAGTAAGCCTATTATCCAGCAGCCTTGGTTTGTTTTCCCGATGACCTCAGTTAACCCCTAGAAACCTGGCCTACAGCCAGGCCACCTCCAGGAGACCACCCCAGCAAGGAGAGAGAGAACAAGGATCAAGTGGCTATGGTGACTACTGGGACTTAACGAAAATCCACGTAAGCAAATCCATGGGAAAACCACTGGAAGACATGCCTTTACCCTAAATGGCTGCCCCGTTCAGGGTGACCACGCTGTCCCCTTCAGTACAGATTTAACAGTCATTGCTGACAAGTGGCTCGGCCTCGTTAGGGATGCAGGCGGAGATACCCCTCAGATCCCACCATGTGATCTGCCGGAAGAAGTAGGCCAAGGGGGCCATCTGCATGCAGAGAAGCTGTAAATCCTTTCCCCTCACACATTCCAGGGAATTTGAGAGCTCTGCTGAGCAAGTTTTCACTTTTTTAAATATAAGTTTTAAAACTACTTCCCGGGGCGCCTGGGTGGTTCCATCGATTAAGCGTCCTGCTTCGGCTCAGGTCATGATCTCGCGGTTCGTGAGTTCGGGCCCTGTGTCGGGCTCCGTGCTGACAGCTCGGAGCCTGGAGCCTGCTTCAGATTCTGTGTCTCCCTCTCTCTCTGCCCCTCCGCCACTCCCAAAAATAAACAAACATTAAAAAAAATTTTTTTAAGCTATTTCCAGAATCCGGGTGAAACCAGGCATCCGGGTGAGCCCGTCTAGAACAGGATGCTGACTTGCACTGCAGTCTGCCCGCTGGAGATCTAGGGGAGCTCAGGGCCAATGCTCCGTAAGCTATTCCAGGCTGCAGGATCAGGAGGAGACCTCCAGGGCAGGCGCTGAGGCTTACACGTGGGTGGACTGAGAAAAGGCCCTGAGGACGGCTGCTGGTGAGGAGGCGACGCCAGACAGCAGCCCAGTGGGCCCGGCTCTGCGGACGAAAGCCGGCCTGACCTTCCCAGGTGGGGCCCTGCTAGGAGTACTCTCTGTGAACCCGCCCTGCTTCTAAGATCTAGATGCCACTATGGGCAATGCCGCACAAAATAAGCCAGGGAAGTACACCGCTGTTCAGCCCAGCACAACTAACTAGCATTTCCACCAACATGTAAACACTCCTCTGTTTACACTCACTGCCAAGAACATAGTTCTCAACCAAATCTGCCTGACTTGTGAATTCAGAGAGAATCCAACACACACGCGTGCGCACACACACACACACACACACACACACACACACACACGGTGAATGAGGCTGTGTGTGGGTTCAAGCAGGCAGCCCCACAGCTATGTTCCCCATTAGC